TTTTCCGCTCACAAGAACAAAAATTTAAGTATTTTCTTCTTTGTCGTGGATGCATTTACAAACACATCACACCTCACCTCTCCCTGTATTAAATTAGTCATTCTGTGGCCGGTCAGGGCAGAGAACAATTTTTAGATACACACGAAGATTTTTTATCGTGCGGAAACAGACCGCACTCTGCAACACGCTGTAAGCTGCCGTAGGCTTCGTAAACGTAAGGGATAGTTTTAGTACTATGACATGAAAAGAAGATTACTTTCTTTTACCTCTCTCCTATTTCTTCTAAGAAAACAATCATAATATTATGTGATGTTATTTCGACCATGAATATAATGGGAGACTGTCCAACTTTACTCATTTGCCATTTATTTATTTGCCGATAAATAAGTAAACTATAAGTTTATTGCAGCCAATGTTTCGGTTTTATCAACTCTAGTAAATTATCGCTTCTGTTATTTCAAATGTCATTATATAAATATTAATTGTGACAGTTAGATTTTATTTTATCTAATGGCAATGGATTTTTTTCTCGTTCTTCTCCATCGGAATCTACACTTTGAAACGAGCAGAACCTACACTAAAAGGACTGGTCGACAGACTGACATTTTTTATCACAACATCTTCGTTGGACATTTAAAAGTATTAAAATAAATGATTTGACTTGGACGTTGACTTTGTTTTCGCAACGATATCGGTACCATGTATTTTATGTTTCAATGGCTTAACGTTTAATTCCTAGCTTGCGTGAAAAGGCGGCTTCACAAAAGACTACCTTCGTGTCACTTATGATAATAATCTTTCAAAGTCCGTGCTGAGAAATTTTGGAAAAACCGAAAAAATATCCGAAATATATATTCTATATGGTATCACACCAGTCGAGCTGATTCATTCTTGCCGAAGCACTGCTCTCCCACACTTAACATGTCTGCATAAAGTAAGGAGATAACTTCAAAATAAAAGTAAAGAAAAAATAAATGTAGTTAAATTTACTCCAATAAAAAAGTACCTACATAAGTACTCACTTACATTCACTTATCTAACTTATGCTGTAGGCTTCTTACAATAGGCGAGCTTATTGCCAAATTCCAGAAACATTCCAACATTCTGAACGAGTGTATCAATAATACATTTTATATAGTTTTCAATTCCAGCCACACCCGCCCGGTCAAAGAGAATTTACCTAGGTATATTCTTAAGGCTTTTAACTATCTTTAATTAATTCTTGATATTTAAGATTCGAAGTGTTTGTTTGTTTATTTGAACGCGTTTATCTCCGTAACTACTGGTTTAAAATGAACAATTCTTTGTATGCTGGATAGTCTATCGAGTAGGTAATGCTATAAAGCATTACGCTTTTACCAATATAAGGTGAGTGGTGAGTGAAACATTGCGATAATATCTAGTTGTACTTTTTTTAAGATAGATCAGCATACCAGCACACAAATTACCTGATGGTAAGCCATCTGTCCCGTCCTTGGACATCCGCAACACCAGGGGACCAAGTGCGTTACCGTTGCGATGCGTGCTTTTTCGGGATTAGGGTGTCGGAGATTTAGTGATTGGGGCGGAATGGGTGAGAAGAAGAAGGATTGGGCCTCTATTAATCTTACTCAAATCGCGAAATACAACGCTGTGGTTGATTCACGCTGGTTTTCTATGAAGCCGTTGTATCACTCCGATCGACTACCGAAGCAAATCTTTCCGACACTTAAAATCAAAAAATAACGCAGTAAGAATATTACAAAGCTCAATTATTTTCGATCAATCTAAGAGTTACAAGTACGTTGCCGGCTTTGTAAGGGTTAGTGATTTAAGGATTAAGGATTGGGTAAGCAATGTGATTGTAACCGACATTGAAAGCATTGTTAGACGCCGGTGTTCAGTGAGGCCGTGATGTAAATCCTGTCAGAATTCTTTTGTTTGTGCTCACCAAATTAAATCTTGTTAATATTCTTTAAGGATATAATTAAAAGTGTACCTACTTATTAAGACATGCTTGAAGTATTTCTAGAACTTCCGAATTTTATCAAAGAAATAAATCTTCACTGTTTATCTACTTGTAGGCGTGTAAAGAAAACAATACTTAGATAAGATAAATTAAAGTCAAGGAGTAGGAGCTAGAATTATTTCTTAGTATAATAAAGAGTGACTTCACGCAAAATTTTAAATCGATAGATCGTCAAAAAAGAACAAAAAATTTAAGGAAACAAAAGTATGGCTATACCTAATTTTTAAATAATATACCAGAAGGTATTTAAACAATGTAAGTAAGTAGTCATAATGCTCTTAAATGCAAGTACATGAGACAGCCGATATATTTATATAATACATACTTACTTTGTTTATTTGTTAATGTATGTGTGTATATCAAAAAATATTATATTAATATAACACGAGTATACACGAAAACGAAATAAGGATGGGCGGAGTATTATGTTTGTTACTCTGTCTGTCAGAATGGATCTGAATGAAATTCGGCAAAGGACAGATGGTATAAAATTTAATATAAGTAACTTTATAGTCTGATAGCCACTGTCAGAAGCTAGTGTCAAAACCTATTAAATAGTTCCTACAAAAACAATGTACCTATAAATTGCTAAAGAGAACTTAACCGTTCATTTAACATTTAATTTTAACCTTGTGATTCCAAGAAACTATGCTCCCTAGTTTATTGAAACCACTATGTGATTAAGAATAGAGAATTCAGGAATTTCAACCTAATAGACTACAGTTTAAGTTGATTTTGCGAATACAGAAAGACTTTTACGTTAGCACTACGTATTTTAAATTGAGAATGGTTACGTTTGAATTCAAATTTAGAACCATTTCTTCCAACAAAACTACAATGAGTTTATTATTTTAAAAGTAATAGCTTAGAAACGTTTTATTTGAATTAAAACCTTTTTGAAAACAAGGAGAATAATGATACCTAAACAAGGTCAATATTTACCCCGTAATTTCCTTCTGTTATAGCCAATCATTGCAAATAAGTTCACAAATATCGCAATTATATTGATTTGTTACAATGGAAAGCCTTCAGATAATTGTATAGGAAGCTTTTTGATTTACTTCTATATCTCCTACATTGACGATCAAAAAAAGCAAATGCGCTTTAGAATTCCCAGTTTAAATAAGTATCTAAGTCAATCAAAGCACCACTGAGGCGTTTTCAGCAGCGATTCACTATTACATGGAACAACATAATAAGAAAAAAAAGTAGTTTTTGACGGAATAGGGTGATAAACGAATAGGCGGATCACCTGATGGTAGCATTCAACGCAACCTATGGACATCCGAAATTCTTGGGAAATTATAGGTGCGTTGTCAGCCTGTCAATCATTAAGGAGAGCTCTAGATTTAGTAAAAGCGGAGAAACACAACAGCGATATTTTCATGTCAGTTTTCCTGTCTATCTCTGTCTCTCAGAGTAGTCAGATAGGAAATGCCGGTTTGAACCAGTATTTTTACATATAAAAGTTCTGTTTTATGGCCTATTTACAAAAATAAATTCATTATTTCATATCTCCCTTCTTCCCGGCTTATCCGTGCCGAAGCAACTCCCACACTTGTTCCTACATTATACATATGTATAAGGATAGGAAATTGCTTAATTAAAACGTGTATATATAGGTGGTGTTCATTGATATTTACCCAGCAACCCCCGCAAGGATGACACACAGTTGTAGGTACATACGTGCTCTAGGTTGATCGATGAGCCTCAATCGACACGACACGTTCTACGATCTTAACCATTTCTTAGAATAAGAAATAAAATGGGTCCAATTTTATTTCTTGTTAGTTTGGTTTTCGTTTCTGTCATTATTTTATAGAAGGACGAAGAAAAATGATGGATAAAGTTTTTGATCGTTTCTAGACCTTTAACTATAATCATAATGATGGCAGTTTATTTAGTTTTATAAGTAAAACACTCACTTACTAACTTTTAGTGAAAATATTAATTTATTGCACCAACTTTGCGTGGAATTCATTATCATAGAGCATGTAGTTTAGTGGTCAATAGTTAATAATAATTATACGGATTTTAAAATAAGTATTTATCAAAATCAGGCCAAATATACCTATATTTAAGTGTATTTTGTACTTTAATATAAGTAATTTGTACGCATAGTTAAAAAGTAATCCCAAGTCTTCTACACGTGTATAACATCAATCCCAATCGATATCGAATTTTATAATAAAAAATCTACTAGCCTTGTTTAGGCAGACAACTATCGAGTTAGATAACTAAACTATTTAAGTCAGAGTGCTTTTTGATGAGCAGAAAAATGAAAATATAGGTGTAACTAAAGTGAATCGACTGCGTAGTCTATAATATGCGTCGATGCGACGATAAAAATATAATACTTACAAAATGATACGTGATCGATAGTTGACCAACTTTTTAAACAAAATCAGATCAATGCAAGCTTTTGACTCCTCGCGTTCATATTTTGCTATTTACTTAATTGCGACGTTGGCACTTCCTAAACAATTGACACTTCGATGACGTCACGCCCGAAATGACAAGGATATCGCTTTCTCTTTCTGAATCTATATTCAATTATTTATCCACTCCGTTGCCAGTAATAAAACAATTAACGTGTCAAGTGACAGTGTTATCCTTCTAATTTCAAATTTTGTTTTTACTCCAACCCTTCAGTTTTGCAATATTTTAATAACACATAAATGACGTCACGCCCGAAAAGAGAAGAGGCAACATATTGCGTTCTTCAAAAAAATAGAATTTTGTCATAATCAACCGCCTATAAGTGCCCACTGGTTAGCAAATACTACCTCTTTTTACACGAAGAAGGTTTGAGCATTAATCACCATGCTTGCCCAACGTGGATCGGAGATTTCAAACTTATGATTACAAATCAAAAATCCAGGTTTCCTCACAATGTTTCCTTTATCATATTTAATAATAATCAAAGAAAGCCTATATTGGTATTGCCAGGTTTCGATTTTTTTTTTTACAATTTGTTTTTTCTTTTTCGCAGCGTGATATCTACACATGGGCGTTGGACCACAGAGTGCACCACAAGTATGCGGAGACGGTGGCTGACCCTCATGACATCAGGCGTGGATTCTGGTTCGCCCACGTTGGCTGGCTAGTATTAACTCCTCATCCGGCTGTGGAAGACCGCCGCATCGCACTGCGACCTACATGTGCAGACCTTATTGCTGATCCAGTAGTCAGGTTACAAAAACAGTAAGTACTTCTATTACTGCATCATTATTTAATCAAGGCTCCATCCAGAGTAATGGTAATATCCTCTGCATTGTAAAACCTCAGACCAAATCAACAACACAAAAAACCTCAGTCCATTAGTAACGGTTTTTAAGGTTATTATGATGACCATGACTTCAAGTGTAGGTACTTGCATCACCCTGAAGTGCACGGATAAATATTAAATTTTCTATGAATTTTGTAGAAGACTTTGCGTTGTTTATCAAATAGCAAATTAAGTTGTCATCAATCTCCCATTAAAGGTTATTTGTTAATATTTTATGACTTAAAAACCTTTAGCCAACTAAATGAATTGTGACAATAATATCAATGCGTACAATATTCAATTAAAATCCTACAACCTAAATCTAGACTACTGATTCATGGAAAACTGGTTACGTAATATGTAAAAAATTCTCTAAGCTGTGGTAATAAGCACAAAAGTTTCGGGCGAAATTTATCTCTCAGCATGAATCCCAAATCGATATCAAATAGCTCTGCGCTCTCAAAGAAGGTTTGCAGTTTAGAACAACCCGTACGTGATATGGTTTGAAGAAAACCTTTTTGAAATCTTTCAAATCTCTCCCTTTGTGTCCTAAGAGCCTCAATAGTTGTAGGTTATTTATTCATCTAAACTCGAGATTTACTTAAGAAATAGCTTGAAAATTCACCGTTTGCTAAACCTTAAAGGGAATAACTCGAATCAAACATTTTTACTTGAATTCTTGGCTTTTTATTTTATAAGAATTTCCATATAGTATTTTTTTATCTTTGGCGTACATATAGTATAAGTATATAAAATGTCGTGGTCGTGGAGATAAGGAGCCCGTTTCTCATGCATGAGGGTGTGGGTTCGAAACCTGGCAAGTATAAATGTGACTTCACCGAGATATATGTACTTTCTATGATTATTTAGACACCACTGACATACGGTGAAATTAAACATCGTGAGGAAACCTGGACTCATAATTTCTAATTATACATTTAAAATCGCCAACCGTATAAGAAGAGACCATTGCTCAGCAGTGGGCACTTATAGGCTGATGATAATAGTATAAGCCATACCCCAAAGAGTCTTAGTATAGTTAAGAGAATTAGTATATCTAATTATCATTATTGTACGTAAGCCACATCACATTACATTACAGCCTATAAGTGCTCACTGCTGAGCAAAAGCCTCTTCTCAGATGAAGGTTCGAGCATTATTTACTACGCTTGCTCATATCAGGTATCTGATTTCAAAACTTATAATTAGACATAAGTCTATATTTTTCCTTTGTTCCTTATGATGTTTAACGTTTACCAGCAACGTCTAAATATACTTAAAAAGTATATATAATTGAGGAAAAGTCATATTGATTTGCCAGGTTTCGAACCCTCCTCATGGTTCCCTTTCCTTATGAATGAGGAAAGGGAGCCTTAACCTCTTGGTCACCAGGACCCTTTTACAAATTGTTGAACACGTTTTCGTGTGAAGTTCTACATTTCTTAAACAAAACTATTACTTAGGGCTTACTTTTCAATAGCCAGATAAATGTTATCTGAAAAATAAAATTGTTGCTGTCACTGTCTTATACAAACATTCTGACGCATTTCATCTTTTTCATCATTTTCATTATATAACATTTGAAAAATCAGCCCGTATAAGTCGTATAAAAAATACGAGCAAACTATACACAAAAAAATCAACATAACTTTTACTTATTTATTTGTTCTTTATCCCATCTTCAGTCATCGATATAATTGTCTTCTCTTTCTTTCTTTTGCCGCAAAACGTCTTCAATAAATGAACCGAATCGATAAATAATAAGTCGTTTAACATAAAAGATTGGAAATTAGATATTTCAAGGTTTTTATTTATAAGTTGGGGCAAAGTTCCAACAACGAGTTTTATACAATTTATAGGTATCATATCCTCCATGTTCAAGTAACACTTTGTATGCTTGTATGTATTTAATAAGCCTACATGCATCACACAAAAAGTGTTTATGATCCCATTTTTTTATAAAGATAACCTAGAGGGACAGTTTCAAAACATCTTTGCTTAGCTGCGGATTCGGTTAATAACTTATTTATTGTTTCTAACTATTTATCGCATAAAATTGTAAACTGATAAATATGAATTTTTATTTATTATTTTCCTCTTTGCCGTGTGATTACGATCAAGTAGAATTACTCACGTCACTACTCCAAGTAAAGGATAAGATATACGTTTAACAGAAATTAGGCAGCAGCATTGCTGTGGGTGGTAGGCCGAAGGTTAAGCATGAGGAAGCGGGCTCGGAACCTAGCAAATACCAATGTGACTTTTTCTGAGTCATATGTACTTTCTAGGTTCATTTAAGTGTGGGGGAGCCATGCTTCGGCACAAATGGGTCGGCTCGACCGGAGTGATACCACGGCCTCACAGAAAACCGGCATGATACAACCACAACGTTATGTTTCGCCGTGTGAGTAAGGTTACCGGAGGCCCAATCCTTCCCCTACCCCAATCCCTTCCCAATCCTTAAATCCCCAAAATTCCAATCCTTAAAAGGTCGGCAACGCACTCGTAACTCCTTCTTTGTTGCGGGTGTCCATGGGCGACGCCGATTGCTTACCATCGGGTAATCGGTCTGCTCGTTTGCCGTCCAATCACATAAAAAAAAAATTTAGACACCAATGACATTCTGTAAACAAAAAGATCATGGGAAAACCTGGACCTCATTTTTCTAATTAAAAGTTTGTAATCCTCAATCCGCCATGAGCAAGCGTGGTGCTTAATGCTCAAACCTTTCCGTGTAATAAAAGGCCACTTATATGTTGAATGTCATTAACCTCCTTCTTCAAACGTTTCAACAGCGATCTGCGGCTTGTCTTCCAACCATGTAGAGTAAGCCTTTTTAGGTAAAGAATGCCCGCAGTCCAACTGACAGCCTTGGGCTGTCGATCCAGTAGATTCCATGAATGCATATTTATTTAGGATTACTCAAACTATTACTGAATATTAACAAGTTTCATTTCATTAGCATTATTTGCTAAAAATAAACGATATTGCATATTTCTACGGCGGCCTCGTCTAGACGGTATTTCAGGATTTCGGGTCAGTTATTCTTATTTTATTTCATATTCAATATTTATTTAGGCTGGGCATTGCATAACATATTGTAGAGTATTTTTTGGTATACCTGGAAGGGTATCGACACTTAGTATACATATTTATGAATAATTTTGATACAAAAAAGATATTTTTAGTCTGAAAAATCATATCATTCTCACGTATCAAGTTTGCCTTTTGTCGGAGTATGATAAACTATATAGATATTAATCCAAATTGAAAGAATAAGTACTATCCAACTACTGCCTGGGGATCGATCGGTCACGCTTGCGACCCATAACTTAATAAAAGAGATAAAATATATATTTACTATTGTGAAATATTTTTCTACTGCCATTAAATAGACACGTAAAGGGAAAAACGTGTACCAAATTGGAAATGATATCAGGAACGCACTTTTGTGCTTTGTGTAGCAAGTAGGTGCAGGTTTAATATCATTTCTGTATACTCAACTCTGATGTTCATGTGTATATTTTTGTTGTTCCTTTAGCTTTTTTGTGAGGGGAAAATCATCAAATGACTTCTCCCGCCCTGAGTAAGGCGAGAGAGAGTGTCATACTCTTACCGACTAAAAACCCCCCGTTCCTTCTCCTATTCTAGGTCAAGGCCGCGGTGCCTGCGACATTGCGCTTCCCCGCAACTCCGGCTGAACATCAGTCCTGTTGGGCCCCGTCTGTGGTGGTCTATCGGCTCTATTTAAATATCATCTTATGTTTTATTATTATTACGTAGCTTTATTGTAACATTATTCATATTTAATGTATTACAAGTATGACGATCTTTTCATACAGGTTCGTAAGCAAAATAATCGCTCATTTATTTATTTATAATTTTAACAAAATAGACTTACAGTATGAGACCAAATCGTCCAAATGTTACCTTAAATTAAATTACAATTACATTTATGAAATTCTAAAATATCTACCTTACAATAAATTACATGCAGCAATGAGATCGCATTTTGTAACTATCACAATTATGCAACTCACGCTGGTGTCCTCCGTACCTATGCGTGTAATATCATTTTCATTACCTGGAGTCTAATTGTTTTATAAACAATAACTAAATGATCATAGATACAAAGTTTGGCAAATGTTTCTATCGTTACAAGTTAAAAAATGCACATTAAAACAAAGATTTGTTCAGTACAAATACTCGTACTAACATCTACAATTGTAAACCCCGCAAAAGTATTTAATATATAAATAAAATGTTTTACATATTTTATTAGCAACGAAATTCTTTTGAAATGAAATAAAATTTAAATGACTGACAAAGTCTTTCAAAAACTGACTTCAAAGTAAATAATATCTTTGTAGGTAGGCAGGTAGGTACTTATGTTTTTAAAATAAAATACACACTTATTTTAAGTAAGAGTTGCTGCAATTACATTTTACTAAACTAAACCTTATTTTGAGATTCCTTTTCAAATATTTTTTCCAGTAAGAACTTAAAAATTAAAACAATCGCCACTTAACTAGAAAAAAGAGATAAGAAGGTTATATATTTGTGTTATCAATGTAAAAAAAATCGTCATATATTCTACAAACATCGAATATATTTTTTTACCGATTCCGAAACCATACCCAGTCGTAAGTGAAGCGAAGTATCTTCATATTTTATTCAGTACTAGCTACTCTCGCGCGGTTTCACCCGCTGTTCGGCTCCATTTTGTCGTAGCGTGATGTTTTATAGCCTATAGCACTCAGGAACATTGTATAATTGTATATGTATATTACTATCTATCAGTGAAAGAATTTTGGAAATCCGACCAGCGGTTCCAAAGATTACCCCCTACATACAAACTTACAAATCTTACCTCTTTATAATATTAGTATAGATCTAAATGTTAAAACTTTATGTGATCATGTTAGGTATATGATATGATAAATATTTAGAAATAGTACCAAAAGATTGAATTTCCATTAATTTGCCAAATCCCATACCCAAATTCGTACAGTTAGAAGACAAAAATCAACTAAATGAACATCTCTAGCCTTATATCATCGATTAGACTAGAGAGTATAATCTATGTTAGTGACAGCACTATCTGTCATGTTGACGCTGTCAGCTGTCAAATTTGACACAAAGTTATATTTTCCCGCTCTGAAAATTCGTTCACACCATAAGATAAAAGTGCTAACTGCTGAACTAAGGCCTCTTCCTACACGGAGAAGGTTTGAGCATTAATCACCTCGCTTACTCAAGGCGGATTGGGGATTTGAAACTTATAATTAGTAATTATACATTTATAAGTCCAGTATCACGATAATTTCTTTCAGCGTATGTCACTGATGTCTAAATAATCATAGAAGGTACTAATAACTTGGAAAAAGTCACATTGGTACTTATCAGGTTTCGAACTCGCACCCTCATGCATGAGAAGTGGGCAATCTTAAGCTCCGGGTCACCACTACGATCCTGAAAATGCGTTCCGGTTCTCTAACTAGTTTTGAAATATGTAATTCCGATCATTCTAATACAGGATTTGCATTACGATACGTAAGATTTTTTATAACAAATTTAACAGTTTTCAAGCGTTGAGATTTTACTTAGAAGTACTTACCAACTGATTTCCATTTAAGTGCAGAAAACGAATTGTAAAAAGGCACTGCAGTTGCAGCCTTTTGAATTCGTTTCAAAAGGTAAAGGTCTCAAATGTTATAAAGTTGTAGGTGGAACTTACCCTTTGAGACCCAATGCAATAACATTTTGAATACCCATTGAACATTTCCGTAGAAAATTCGAAACAAGGAACAACCAAGCTTTGAAATAAAACCCTAAGTTATTGTGTGTTAAGATTAAAATTTGCATAAAGTAGTTAGTTAAAGTCAAGTTTAACGGTGATTGTTATCCACTAGGGTCGAAACTTCGAATAATTTGTAAAACGAGACCATGATTAAAACTTCAAAGAAAGTAATTGGAAATCGTTGCATATCATTTGCTTTCTGTAGCTGTCATTAATTACATCGCTATTACGTTCGGTCGATCGGTTCCGTATTTATCGGTATTATAGCCAAAATTCAGATGCTTTATTGAAATTATGCGACGAAATTTTTTCTTATCTTATTAATCGCCAATTATGCTTTATCCATACATACATGTATGTAGGTAGATACCCTTGTAAAACAAAATTTTTATCTAAAATAGTGAAAATGTTGCTAAGACTAAAATAATTATTATCATAACTCAAGCTTCGAGACAATTAAAAACGTTACTTAACTATTCTTGGAGTACCTAGTACCTTAAAATCAACATTTTATAACAAACCGATAGTTGTTTTTGGTTAGAAGAATTATATAGGTATTACCCTTAGTAACTCTAGAAACTTAAGCTCTCATTCTCAAATAAAATAGAATCTCATTAGTGGTTCTTGCACTTAACTATATGAGACGTTGCAAAGTTCTTATAACTTTGTATTTATTTTGCTTGAACATAGCATTAAAGACACTGCAATAAATGGCTTTTCTGAGGCGGGAAAATCATCCAACGACAGTGACAACGAGAGTGTCAGTCTCTTACTGAATAAAAACAACTTTTTTTGTGAAGGGAAAATCAGCAAAAAATTCTTTCATCCAGGGTGAGGCGAGAGGGAGCGTCAGATTATTTCTGACTAAAAACACCCGTTCCTTCCCCTGCTAGTCACATAACCTTGCTAAACATCGGCCCTGTAGGTGCCCGTTTCTGGTGGTCTATTAGCTCCCCTTTGAGACACGCGCCGTACAACCGGTTCTGATTCTAATTCTGGTCGGCAGACCCGCGCGTACGGTAGGACTTAAAACCCTACCGGTTTCTTCTCCACTCTAAGCTGATATACAACAAAAAAACATTGCCCTCGCACTCGCAACCATGGTCGGTACAATGAACGGTTACATCAAATTTTGCCGAGCGTCGATATCATTTTATTGATTTACAATTTTACTTTTCACTCAAACACTAATGAATATTATATAATATGCTATCTATTATTATTAATTTTTAAATTGACAAATTAAATTTTTGTTCCAAAATTGAACTGGTTGACGAATAAAATTCTACACCTAATTTTTAAGAAATGTTGCTAAAAAATAATGTATAAATACGAGTATTAAGCCTATTAAAACTATTCAAATCCTCTGCTGAATTGTGGATTACCAATGGCCTACGTAGTGGTTAACGTATTTAACATATTATAAAATCAATAAAATAAACTTTGATTACTTTTCAATATAATCAAACTTGAAATAATTTATATTTGACCAAGTCAGTAACCCAATTAATATGACCTTGTATACTCATTCGGGATTTAAAAGGCCTGATGCTCTGCTATGCGTGAATTTGTAATCAAAGCGATTTAATTCATAAAGAACTAAAACCAATTTTATAAGGACACCAGGGAATTTTATTGGAAATTTATTCTATAATGACTAAATTCTGTAAAGAGCAGCAACATTACAGTAATAATTAAATATTGTAAACCCACAAAAGGCTTAATTACAGATTGCACTTCACCTATCGTTATTAAAATTCAATCAACGTAATGAATTTTAACAATTTATTAATTTAACGACTTATTTAATTCAAAGTCTCTTTTATTTAACAACAATATTAAAATGGATCGCGATAATACGGTAGTTTCCAACTAGTCAAATTCAATACCAAATGTCAAAAACTATACTTTTCTATGAAATTTGTGTGAAACAATGAGTTACGTCATAGTATTTTTGTGTCAAATAGTTTAAGGGAGTTAAGACGGTGAAAAAAATTTTGCTTCTTTCGCCCCACCCGAGGGTGGGGAGAAGTCATTTGATGATTTTCCCCTCACCAAAAAAAGGCATGATCAGCTCTATAACTTTGACGACATTGGTAAAATTTCTCAAATACTATTTTTTCTCTTAAACTGCCCATAACTGAGTTGTTTTCACTATTTATCTGCAGTCAGATGCTAGGCCAAAGAAAAATATTTTTAACGACTTAATTAATAAAGAATTAGATTAAAATGTATAGTGTCACAAACTATAATATACTTGATACTTTTCATTGTTCTAGGTTCTTCATTCCAATGTTCGCGTTGCTGAACATCGCGATACCTATCTGGGTGCCATGGTACTGCTGGAACGAGACCCTGGTGAACAGTTTCGTCATCAGTTTCGTGATGCGGTTCACCATCACGCTGAACATCGCCTTCTGTGTCAACAGCTTCGCCCACCTTTGGGGCAACAAGCCTTACGACAGGTGAGAACTACTTAATATTATTCTAAACGATGTGGTGCCTTTTATTTTTTTGCAACTATTTTTTGTTAATTAAACAACAGAGGAGAGCGATCCTTTATAAAACAATTTGTTTTGCTATAAACGCCGATTTCCTGACTTTTCAATAGTGTTAATAAGATACACAATAGTAAGACAATAGGTGTGCGAACGCCGGCATTCGCTTGGGGTTTGATATATTAGCTAATATGTATAAGTCTTTTAATTTTTCACATCATAAAAAGTTACTTCGGTATTCAATATTTTACGTTCTTAACAAAATATTGTTAGGAAGAAGACCAGTGCGTAGGTAAAGAAAACTTTTCCGTTATTATCCTATTTGGAATCCAACTTGTTACAAAACAATCTTCTTGTGAGATGTTGGCGCTCATAGTTAGTTAGTGTTACCAAAAACTTTGAAAGTGGTCGAAACAAATAACTTTCGCCTCCGGTAAAGAGCTTCATAAGTAATGACAACTTCAGACAGTAATGTTTTGATGCAGTGGTTTGCTGTTGTTATTTGCAACTACATAGTTAAATACAAATTAATATAAGGTAAATATACGAAAGTCACACACAAGATTTAAAAGTAGAAGGTGTCTATGAAGCGACGTTTTTTTAAGGGGTAAGTCGGCAAACGTCCATACAGATTACCTGATGGTGAGCGTTCGGCGCCAACCATGAACAACCGCGCCAGTAACCTCACACGGCGAAACCAGACACGAGGCATGGCTCTCCCACACTTAAATAATTAATATTTTAGGGATTCCTAAACAACCTCTTTACATGACAAATATAACATTACCATCCAATTCAATATTATTACGAAGATACTGTATAGTAACGATGTTATTTCCAGCCGCTTCATTACGGTTTACTATCCATAAAATAATACTTACCTATGGGAAGTAACCAACACACCTATTTTACGAGCAATATCGTAAATTGCTGATATTGTTACCATTGTTTTTTTTTTGCTATTGTGTACCTACCTACATCGCACAATACTAGAAATGAAGCCTTGCATTAATATTTTCTCACGGACCTTTATTATTACATGTTTGTTTGTGCATAGTGAGTAATGGATTTTATGGTGCCCGTCTTTTGTAAGACTTGGACTTACTGATTTGGAACATGTGCCTGACGCCATCACTCGATTGTAAGTGCCTTATAGAATGCAAAATGAATTAAGCTTAATCTCGGCGACGTCGCAAGATGCTCATGAATAAGAGACCGGTAGTGACTTAATACTAGTAGGGCTATTCTCAGTTAATTCACGTGGTTAAGTCGTTATCTATATTTATATTAGAAAGAGGTAAAATATGTAAGTTTGTATGTAGGGGGTAATCGTTGGAACCGCTCTGGTCGGATTGCCAAAATTCTTTCACTGATAGATAGCTACAATGTTCCTGACTGCTATAGGCTATAAAACATCACGCTACAATTAAATGGAGCCGAGCAGCGGGTTAAACCGCGAGAGAGTAGCTAGTTTTCGATAAATTTACGAGTGTGTACGTGAGTTTTCATCCATACTCATCAAGTCGTCAATTTATTTAGCAACAGGCCCGTTTTATCACTTTGGCCAAACCAAACAAAAAGTTTTTCAATATATGTACCTTAAAGGTTTGTTACGCTTTTGATCAGGTCATCCCTGAGTTGCGCCTAACTTATAGCTCATTGTTATCAAGCGCTACTTATTCATTGTTATTTGACAAGGCGGCTAAAGGCCGATTACCTGATGGTAAGCCATCGGCGTCGAACATGTATACAAACAACACCAGAGGAATAACTAGAGCGTGGTGCCTTTTTCGGATTAGGGTTTTGGGACATTTAGGGATTGGGAAGGGATAGGGGGAGGAGAAGGATTGGGTCTCCAGTAACCTCACACACATGGCGAAACACAACAATGTGGTTGGTTCACGCCGGTAAATGTGAGGCGGTGGTATCACTTTGGATCCCCCACACCCAAAGCACTCACAAAACAAATAATAGAATGAGGTACATATTCACGACAATGTATTTAAGACAGTACTCTAGCTCTATGGGCTTTTTTGTGAGGGGAAAATTATCAAATGGCTTCTCCCGCCCAGGGCCGGGGAGGGAGTGTCAGACTCTTACTGGGTAAAAACGCTCCCATTCCTTCTCTTGCTCTGGGCCGAGGTTGCGGTGCCTCATTGCGCTTACCCTGCAACCCCGGCGGAACATCAGCCATATAGGGCCCCGTCTCCCCGTCGGCTCTTTGAGGCGCGCGCGGAACGCTACGCCGTAGGCTAAGAACTCACGGAGCGATTTTCGCCCGCGTCCGCTGCGGTTGCGGGCCCGCAGCTTCTGTAGAATTCAAATATTTATATAAAAAATTAAAGCACATTTCACGACGCGTTTTACGCCCGCGGTGTACGCGGTTGTATGCGGCTCCCGCTGTACCGGCGGGCAACTAGTAGAATCGCGCGAGCCGCGGTTACCCGCAGCCTCGGCGGGTGGCACCCGCGAACTTTGCGATCGGTTGGCGAGCGACCGCGGGTGCCGGCGGGTCTTCTGTGAAGTTAATATAACGCAACGCCTCGTTTCTGGTGTGTGTCCATGGCGGTCTGGACCTCAACTGATCGTTAACCGTCCGTCTTGGAATCTTGCGATCATCGCCCGTCACGTTTGCGGGCGATGATCGCAACCGCGGCGGCTGTGTAACCGCGCAAATAACCGGTCTCGTGAGTTTGGAAATAAAACCGCAGTTCCGCTACCGCGGCGGGCACGGTTCAAAATCGCTCCGTGAGTTCTTAGCCGTACTCTCGGGTAGCTCTATAGGTTGTCAGCAAAAAAAACTAAAGCAACTTACAAATTTACAGTAACTCTGATAAGATACACAAATTATATTACCTCGTCAGAGTAAAAGTGAAAGTATAACAAATAATATTTCAAGATATCATATTGATTCAAGTTAATATGAAAAAGAAAAAGCCTTAATATCTGAAACATAAATATTTATCTCGAAATATTTCCTTAGTACTTAACATTTTTACAAAGATTTAAGTAGCTAAATGCTTGTCTTCTTTGGTAAAGAGATATCGGAGAAAATTCCGCAGTAGATTTTTTTTCAGAACAGGTATTTGTAGGTAAGCCAAGGAAAAATATTTTATTTATTTAACTTTATTAAGCTTTAACTCAGGCACGCTTTCTCGCGTTGTACCAATAATTTTATTGGCTGAGTTCGCATTTAAATAGTAAATATATTATGTTGAAGATGTCTGTCTGACTGTATATTTATCCAGCCTTACTAAGAACTGTTATATGTAATTGACTTTCGATCCGTTTATTGCATGTTCTACTTAAATTATTAAAATTAACTTTAACAACTTCTTAGAAACGTACTCGATACTCCTTTGAGATTAAAATAGGCATGAAAAGCAATCCGATACAGAGATGTCAAGCACAGAATCAATAGATATACAAACCTACACGTGGGAGAGTCATTCTCATGAAACAATACACACAAAACATCACTGTTGGTCCAATCCTGCCCCATTTCCAAATTCTGTGTCCGAAAAGTGTGGGAGAGCTTCGGCAAGCATGGACCAGCTCGACCAGTATGATTTTATTTCACCGTGTAAATGAAGTTACTGGAGGCTCAATCCTCCCATACCCAAAGCCCAAATTCCTATGCCATAAAATAAACCCCCAATTCCCAATCTTAAAATCAAAATCTTCCTAAGAGGCCAGCAAAGCATTTTTACCTGCGCTGCAGTAGTGTTGCGGCTGCGCATAGGCAGCGCCGATTACCTTCAGGTGATTTGGTTGCTCGTTCAACACTCTATAACATAGAAATGCGACTTTCTAAAGACGAGAATGAAACATCGCTAATTTCTAGACAGATAGCAATTAAAATTAGTTAAAGAAACATGTCTAAAGTAATTGTAGGAATAAATTTAAAAAGTCTGTCTACCTGTGATTCAACTTAAGAATACTTGACTTTTTTAATTAAAATATTTTGTATATTTTCTTGCACAGATTCGTGAAATCAGTGGAGAACAGTTTGGTTAGTCTCGCAGCCCTTGGTGAGGGTTGGCACAACTACCACCATGTCTTCCCCTGGGACTACAGAACTTCGGAACTGGGAAAACTGAACATCTCCACAGGGTTTATTGACTTTTTCGCCAAGATTGGATGGGCTTATGACTGTAAGTACTGTTTTTATACATCGAAAAATAAATAAGAATATATAAGTAGGTAAAGTGCGAGACTTAATTAATTCACACTGTGTTTTGTTTGTGTTGTTAAAGTTTTTATTGTTGTTTTTATTTTTGTTTATTTTACGATTGTTTCTACATAGCAATATTTACACATCGCAACTCGGAAGGACATGTAGCTAACGTTTGACAACGAACAAAAATATATACCTACATTAAAATAATAATAAAAAAGATGTGAGCAATAAAAAAAACAAAATTGAAATCGAGTCCCAGATACAAAATACTGCGCAAAAAAAACATTTAAAAACAGAACAAAACTACGAATCTAATAATCTAAAGCGTAAAATATTTCTTTTTTAAATAAATGATTATTTAAAAAGTAAAAAATAAATTATTTTGCTAAACGATTAAAGCTTTTTTAGGCTTCAAATTAAGGTCTTTTTTTCTACAATGGCGGTAAAATGACATCGCAAAATTGTCAGCAGATTGGCGACTAGCAGTAGAAAAGCATGCTTTGCTTTAGATCCTAACATAATTATAATATATGTAGGTGAGCAAGTTTATATACCTAATTAGTTTCATTAATACTTAGGACTCGGTACTGATACTTAAGTTGAAGTCAGTACCTATTGTTAGGTGTTTCCTTTGCCAATTTAAGTAACATAATAATATAGCATAGTATACTATTGATCATATTTGATAACATGGCTAAAATTGGGTGTTCGATTTAATACATTATAGTATACACCTATCGAAAAAGGAACGCAAAGGGACGCAAGTCAAAACAAAACTTCGATAAAAATGCAAAAAATAATTTTAAACCATAGGACTACAATCTATCTCATATGTTAAAAACAAAAAACAGTTGATCAGGATACTTTTTTTATAATTTTATATAAAAATGCTTCATAGTTAATAAACGATATTTTATCTGAAAGAATAAAAAATGGACCACTTTTGTAATCAAATGTGAATTACTATTAAATTTAATTTGGACCTACACTTTTACAATGGATCAATCAACACTACGTTACAAATTACTTTGTGAAAATTTGATAAAAAGTATTAAAATTGAATAAGTATAATATATCGCTTTTGAATTGAAAATGAGATTTTTCAATTTCATTTATTTACATATATAAGTACATATATTATGTTTTCCTAGAAAAATGTAATGTAATGTAAAAATTTTCGAACTTGCCTAAGATGGTTTGAATTGAATGTAATAAGATTTTATATATTGTATCAATATGGTAGTTATTCAAATGTTTCGGAGAAATTGTGTATGTAGTTTTAGGGGTAAAGGCATTATAGTTTTTTATACTGTCTTATGTTTTTCAAAAGCTACGACTCACAAAGTCCTAAATTGTGTTTTTTTATGGAATAGATCGGCAAAAAAGCAGACTGATTACCTGATGGTAAGCAATGGTAATTGACACCCCCAACACCAAAGGAGTTGCGAGTGCGTTGCCAGCCCTTTGGGGATGAGGACTTTGGATATTTAAGGATTGGGAAGGAATGGGGTGAGGGGCAGGGATTGAGCCTCCGGTAACCTCACTCACACGGCAAAACACAACGCTGTGGTTATTTCACGCCGGTTTTTGTGAGACCGTGGTATCACTCCGGTTGAACTAACCCATGCTTGGCTCTCCCTCACTGTGCTTACAGTTTGATAAGGGACCTGATACATATCCTGGTTGATTATATATATTCAAAAAATTGTTTTTTGTTACAGTAAAAGCCGCTACCACCGACATGATATCAAAAAGAGCTAAGCGATGTGGGGATGGAACATTTGGAGAATCGGAGGAACCGTATCCATCTGCAGAAAAATGTCACGCCGAATAAAATACTTCCAATAAAGATACAAAACATTGAAAGAATTCTTTCTTATAGCAATGTTTGTATTTTAATCCAAATGATAATAAATATAGAATTCACCATTAAAATTGTATAATCATATATAAAAAATACGAGTTCGTCATTTGTACAATTTGTGTCTGCTATTTTGTGTACATTAGATTCTAATTGAGTGTAAAAGTGATTCAAAATTTTCAATAGAGACCACGAATAAAGGCAAGATATGCGATAAAGTAAAAATTTTATCGATAGTACAAAAAAAAAGTAATCTTTCGGCACTCGTAATAAGTTAGAAATTGCTATATTCATTTTTCACACTATGCTTGCTGCACAGGCTGAATGATTACATACCTACATTAAACTTCATTAAAAAATTGTTCCGTTCTTATTTACAACAGTTACCTACATCAACCGAAAAAGTTTCATCCTTATTGAATCTTAGATTATTATTTAATAAGTACTTCATCATCATCATCATCATCATCAGCCCTTTTCAGTCCACTGCTGGACATAGGCCTCTCCTATTGCACGCCACTGGGATCGATCTTCGGCCACTCGCATCCAGCTCCTGCCAGCCATCTTGCGCAAATCATCACTCCACCTTGCCTGAGGACGTCCTACATTACGTTTGCCGAGACGCGGTCTCCACTCAAGAACTCGTCTACTCCAACGGTCATCGGTTCTTCGGCTAATATGGCCAGCCCACTGCCATTTCAGCTTGCTAGTAATAAGTACTTATTTTTATTTTTTTATACTGTGACATAAAAATATATTTTGTTAAAATATATTTAGTTTTGTTAAAAAACTTACAGATGTTTTTGTCCAAATGAAATTGTTAAATCTTTTATTTGTTATTGTTAAGCATAAGTACAAGTAAACTACATCATTGTTAATAATATTATAATAATTATTATCCTACACTAATTTCTTAAAGTTTTTGTTAATAACAAGGCGTCAGCTAAAACTTTGAGGTTTATGTACCTGTCGCCATATTGTGTTACTCTGTATCTCAACTGTCTTGACAGGCAGCCATCTTTGATTTCCAAGTTGCCACTCATTAACAAAATTACAGATTTGTAAACAATCTTCTAATGTAACACAGTTTGGTAGTTAATTGTTAAATAAGTAGATATTTCTTGTAAAACTTGTAACTAAAGAGAATCAGGGTGGAAAATATAATATATATATATTTTTATAACTACGTCATCCATATAGGAAACGATATACCTCGATAACTCCAATATCATGTCTTCAAAATTAGGCTTGTTTATTTGACACTCCATATACCTATATTAACAATTTAATTAAATATATTAACCTATAAAAAAAAATATTGAATGTTTGATGATTGATCTGTTGTATGATTCTCAAAGGATTTTGTGAGATATTTTTAGACTAGAAGTGATAAAAATTCATTCATACCTTAATATTATGTATTTCTATTATTAAGTACCTACCAATAAAATTTATAAGATCAAAATTATATAATATAATAAAGGTGTACTGTTTAATCATTCGTGCTGTAATTTTATTTATATTCCATTCAGTCCAATTCTTCCAATATAATCAGTATTAGGGCCGCCGTGGTGGCCCGGAGGTTAAGGCACCCGCTTCTCATGCATGAGGGTGCGGTTTCGAAACGTAGGTAAACATGGCAAGTACCAATTTTACTTTTTGCGAGTTATATAGTTGAGATCTGGACATATAATTTCTAATTATAAGTTTGAAATCGCCAATACGCCTTGAACAAGCGTGGTTATTAATGCTCAAACCATCTCGGTGTGAAAAGAGGCCTTTGCTCAGCAGTGGGCACTTATAGGCTGATGATGATGATAATGATCTACGATCGCCATGCTCCACTCAAGGCAGTTAAGCTAAAGCGCCCACCGGCGCCGTGGATGACACAAGCTATTCGTATGGCAATGCGACGCAGAGATCGTATGTTCCGAAAATTTAAACGTGACCGCACTGATGATCACTGGGCGGCTTACAAGACAGCGCGAAAAAGGTGTAATCAGATGATACGCAATGCTAAACGCCGCCACATTCTCGATAATATCGGTTCTGCGTCTTCTGCCAACAGAAGATCTCAATTGTCACTTTTGTTCGGGTCATGCCTTAGACCATATCATTGAACAACAGACACTGTCCTTCATCTCTGGTATGACGCGAGCAGACACTGACGGTTCCTTTCAGCTTGTTTCAGTTGCGCCTGAAGAGATCAGAAAGATTATCCTATCCATAAAATCGAAAGCGGTGGGGTGTGATAATATCTCTCGTTTTATGATCATCACTATCATAGATCACATCCTACCGGCGATTTCCCATATCGTCAATTTTTCCATGTTTTCCTGTGTTTTCCCGACCCTGTGGCGAAAAGCGTACATTCGTCCGCTACCTAAGGTCACTAATCCTGTTGCTCCTTCACATTTCCGACCTATCTCTATCCTTCCCTTCCTATCAAAGGTGCTCGAGGCCTGTGTTCATCGTCAGTTTTCTAAATTTGTGTTTCGGAACTCGCTCATTTCCCCACTGCAATCTGGATTCAGGCCCGGTCATAGCACTGTTACTGCACTCCTTAAAGTGACTGGCGATGTTAGGGCGGGGCTGGAGGACACCAAGGTAACGGTTCTGGTGCTGATTGACTTCTCCAACGCCTTTAACATGGTCAGCCACAATATTCTATTAGCAATCCTGTCCCACATTTCGGTCTCTGATGGTGCACTGAAATGGTTCTCCTCTTATCTTCGTGGGCGTCAGCAGATGGTACGGGTTGATGATATGTCATCGAATTGGACTAACCTGCAATGTGGCGTTCCACAAGGCGGCATACTTTCTCCTCTTCTATTTTCTGTTTTTATTAATCTCATAACTTTTGATCTTCAGTGTGCGTATCATCTGTATGCTGACGACCTGCAAGTGTACTGTCTGTACAGTACAAATGGGACGGTGGCTGAGCTGGACGGGTGTATAGCGAAAATTAATCGGGACTTGGCTGCTATCGAGAACTGGTCCAACCGGTTTGGAATCGCAGTCAATCCTGACAAGTGCCAGGCAATTGTAATAGGTAGTAACCATAATATCGCCAAAATTGATGTAAATACTCTACCGTCAGTCACTTACAGCGGTACACCTGTCCGGTTTAGTGACAGTGTTAGGGACTTGGGCTTGCACATTGACAGCACCCTCAGTTGGCGGAATCAAGTTGCCAGTGTGAGTCAAAAGGTTACAGGATCATTGCGGTCTCTGTATCGCCACAAAAACTTACTGCCTCCTAGCACTAAGGCGATGCTTGTACAGACCTTAATCTTCCCCATCATCGATTATGGTGACTTGTGTTACAATGACCTGAATGCAGATCTCCTCAATAAACTCGACCGTCTTCTAAATAACTGCATTCGATTCGTTTCCAACTTACGTAAATATGATCACGTGTCTGAGCAGCGATCATTGTTGAAATGGTTGCCTATCCGTCAGCGCAGAGAGCTAAGGGCGCTCACAACTTTATTTACTCTTCTCAACTCTCCCTCTTCCCCTGACTATCTATCTTCATATTTCCAGTACGTGTGCGACAACCATACTAGAAGTCTGCGCTCTTCGCACAATCGTCTTTTGCATGTCCCTGCCCACCGCACTAACTATACTCATTCTTCTTTCTTCATACAAGCCATTTCCTTGTGGAATAAGCTTCCCTCGGATATCAGAGCTGCAACCAGCCGGTTGTGTTTCAAGCGTAGGGTGCGTGAGTACATAGGCAAGATGATGGTAGTTTCCCCACTTGGATTATAAATTGTCCTCATTATATATATATATTTTTTATATTATATTATTTATTTATATTATGTGTATTAGTGTTTATATATGTATGTATTTTATATATGTATATATTATTTTTATGTATGTAACTTAGAATTGATTTACACCTCCACCTCACGTAACTTCCTAGATTGCTGTATATCACCTACCACACATCTCTGCACTACCAAAAGGTTGACTGGCAGAAAATGCTTCTAGCATTAAGTCCTCCGATATGCAATTGTATATAAAGAATAAATAAATAAATAAATAAATAAATAAATAAATAAATAAATAAATAAATGATGATAATCAGTATTCAGGGGTTCTCCTTCTTAAAAGGCTGGCAACGCGACTTTGACCCCTCTGGTGGTCTATGTATTATCGGCTCCGATCACCTGGTTCGCTGCCTGTTGTGCTGGTTTTTATTGTTTGATTGGAGCATTATCAAATAACTATTCCTGCCATGGGTTGACGTGACGGAGTGTCAGACTATTGATGACTAAAAACCACCCCGATTCGGTCACGGTACAGTTTTGTGCTTGCAACGTCAACCCCTATTGAGTATCGACCAAGGACGCCGTGGCGTCTAGCCACTACTTAAAAACATTACCGCTGCGATAACAGCAAGGCCCTTGGTTGAGGTAATCGTTGCGTCTACTCCACCACGAGATTGCTGGTATTCATCATAACTGCATAAAACACAGCGGAATTACCACAGGAATGTCTATATCTGTGATAATTAAGTACACTTTTTTTTATGTATGGTCGGCAAACGAGCAGACGGATTACCTGATGGTAAGCAATCAACGCCGCTCATGGACACTCGCAACGGAGGAGTTACGAGTGCGTTGCCGACCTTTTAGGGATTAGGGATTTGGAGATTTAGGGATTGAGGAGGGATTGGGGAAGGGGAAGGATTGGGCCTCCGGTAACCTCACTCACACGGCAAAACACAACGCAGTGGTTATTTCACGCCGGTTTTCTGTGAGGCCGTGGTATCACTCCGGTCAAGCCGACCCATTCGTGCCGAAGCATGGCTCTCCCAGACTTAATATATTTTATTATTGTTTGAAATAAGGTAAGTATAAATATGTGTCACGTTTATTTATTATAAAACTTAATATAATACCTAAATACAAAGGCTAGTGCCAACTAGCCCGAAGGCATTCTCTACCAGTTAACCGCAAGCACCGTACTTTTCCTGGTACATTCCTTGAATCCCTGTGAAACACATTTCAAACAAAATTCGAGTATAACCGCTAGCATTAGCTGGTGTTTGTTAACAGCTAACAGTATGATCCTAACACAATTGCTTAAAGCATTTTTCCAGGCGCTATTTATACGAACAGTAGGTATCTTTGGAAATTATTTCATTACTTTTCTAAGAAAACTTGTCAAAATCTTATTCTATGTTCATATTATGTACTTAAATGGCTTAGTGGCAAGAGATTTCAGCCTCCAGCAAGCTTTATATCTTAGAAATATTAAGATTGTTGTTGTGATGTCTTATCCAAGAATTAGTCTTCATAAGCTTTTTTTGGTAACAGAAACGATCACCTGATTAAATGATCAGGGCTGCCGACCTCATAACATTAGAGCATCACGCCTGCTTGAAAAATCCACAAAAAATCTCAAAACAGTTTCTCATTGGTTCTCTGAAAGACCATGGTATAACTTTGTGTGAGCTGATCCATTTTTCCTGAATTTAATTATGTTTACAGACCTACTTATTGTAATATAAGAAAGCGACAAGTATAGGTAATTCCGAAATAAGACAAAGACGAAGATTTGTCAAAACATTAAAATACAATTCAAAGTTTAGTTTCATTAAGGTTTTATTTATATTATAGGATGGTAAACGAACCGTCGAATTAACTGATGATAAACAAACAGCACTGCTTATGGAAACCCACAACAACGGAGGAGTTGCGCGCGCGTTGCCGACCTTTTGGGGAAGGTTTTGGACGTTTAGGGATCGGGGAGAGGATTGGGCCTCTGGTGACCTAACTTACACGGCGAAGCACAACGCCGTGGTTGTTTCACGCCAGTTTTCTGTGAGACCGTGGTATATAACCTTAGTCAAACAGACCCATTCGTACCAAAGCATATATGGCTCTCCCACACTTAAAGTTCAAATAGAATTTGAATATTTATTTATAAATCAAAAGAATAACTTTCATAATGTTCAAAGCAATTATTATATTGATATCGTAAAATAACATCCAAAGCCATCCATTCTTAGTAAAGATCCAATTTGGCACGTTAAACCTCCATTGACAATTTCACCCATTGATCTCTTGTGTTTATTGAGACATCAAGACGTTTGGTCTTCCACTTAGTTTTTTTTTACACATGCCTCCCTGGTTATGTAATTCCAATTGCACCTACCAATAACAACGGAATGTTTAATCAAATAATATTTTACATTAATGTTGGATACTTATTTGATAATGTGTTATATGTATGTATGTAATATTTTTTATGGGATCGGAGGCACACGAGCAGTCAGATTACCTGATGTTAGGTGATCAGCGCCGCTCATAGACATCCTGCTACACCAGAGGAGTCACAGGGGCGTTGCCGGCCCTGTGAAACAGAGTTCGCACATTTCTTGAAGGTTTGAAGGTCGTATTGCAAAATATGTACTTAATATTGTAAAAAATTATTTGATTCAAAATTTTGTTCTCTCTTCTCCTTCAGAAAAGAGAATGTATGATATTCTGTAGATGTAGCAAAGCAAAAGATTTTTTACTGTGTTATAAAATGTATATTCACAAAAACACCGTTTATAAAAATCGTTAAACATTCTGAAATGCATACCTCAACTCCTTATACAGTTTGTTTAATAAATAAAATAGTTACCGTCCTCATAGCAAACGAACGAAGCTAATTGGTACAAACTTAGTATAGAATGATTTAAAGTTCACAGCAAAATTAAAATTGTGACTGTCTTGGCTATACCTAACTAAATATAGTTTTAAAACCAAGTACCAAGTCAGACTATTAAATATTTAAAAAAATAATACATTAATTATTCCTGAACCTTGAACTTTAGGATAAGAATACCAAACCATAAATATTTAAGTTTTGAAATTGAACTATCCCTATCTTTCCTAGCAATCACAAAAACTTAGCTTAAAACTTACAACTTATGTTACCAAGTATACCAAGTAAATAAATTAATAATAAATAAAACCTAAGATCACTTTTGCCCTTACAAATAAAATTACTATTTTACTACATTTAAGACTCACTTGTTTTCTATACAATATTGGTCCTTCATAAACTGAATCCGATAACGCAACAAATTTCTTCCATAGATGTCGCTGTCGTCAGATTTAATCTTCCGCTGGCTCTCCTCGAGCTTTTGCCACTGCTCTGACGAGAGCTGGAGATGCCTCCTTCAAATCGTAAGCCCAACCGATGTTTGCGAAGTAATTTAATATTGTGGTGGTCATGTTCATGGGTATTCCCAGTTCAGCAGCCTTGTAGTCCCATGGGAAGGTGTGATGGTAGTTGTGCCAACCCTCACCCATAGCCACCACGGAAACTCCCCAATTTTCAACAGGCATTATGTTTCTGTAAACATAAATCAGGAACTAAATAATAATTTGCCTGAATTTTAAGCTACGTAGCTGCATTATTTTGGAAAAATTATATTGCTTATAAGGGGTCGAAATGTCCAACAGCATTTGTTCTGTATAATATGTATTAGCCCTTTTTTAATATAGTGACTAACGTGAGACATATTTTTTTTTAAATAACCACTTATGCAATTAACTTAATAACTACTCGGCACGCAACCAAGTCGCCACGAAGCTTACCCTACTAAATAAATAAGAGTCCCGTTGTGACTTGAAACTAGTAGAAGTTTTCTCAGTCAATTGACAGAACTAAGTCGTCATTTTCAATAAAAAAAAAGTAATAATCTTTAAAACCTACTAATGTCCACGTATTAATATATTCAAAAAAGGTCGTACTTGTCATAAGGTTTGTTGCCCCATAGATGTGCGAAGCTGTTGACGGACCAGGTGAAATTGAGGCTCAACAAGTACCGGATCACAGCCTGCGACATTATTGATACTTCCCAGGTTTCATTCCAGCACAAAGCAGGTACCAACGATGGCAGAACCCAGCAGCACAATATTTTGAACAGCATGAAATGCCTGTAATATGAAAAAGAACGTAAATATAATTGGGGGCATAAAATTTGAATACTGTTCTTAAAAAAGAAATGCTGTGCTTAACATAGATAGAGTGCACATGTTTTTAAATTCCTGACACTGGCTGGAAATACATAATTCTTATTTTGAAAAAACACAAAGTATATTATTTTGCCTTGATAAACTATGGAAAAGTTCACAGTAGCTACGAAAAATACAATTATTCTAAGAAACCTACGAAGTTAAGAATCTGACCTTAAACCTTTGCGAAAACGATATTGCTTTGGTTTTAGTTTCCTAGCTACATTAGGTATTTAGATCATGATATTTGGAATGTCATCATTATTATTCATTACGTACTATTCGTATATTATGTACTGTATATGTACAATTGTTACATACATTTCCGAGTCTGAATGTCATGTGTTTGTGAAATGTGTATTTCAAAAGGTACCCACGAAACGTAAGAAAATACTACTGTAGAGCAAAGTTTAAAAAAAACTGATTTTGTTTTCCGTTTTAATTCTCAATACTTTTTTATCCTAGTTTAAGTTTATACTAATAAGATGACGTGATGAAAATCATCACTAAATATTGTATACTAACTAAATTCCAGTAAATGCTGTGTTATACAACACTTCATTAAGAAACAGTATAAAATCTACCAATAACCAATCTTGTTGGAACTTTCACAGGATTTTTACCTTGCCTACTTTAACTTTAGTAAAATGTCGGTGCATACCTGGTGTGGAACTGAACAAGGGGATCATTGACGATGTCACTCATGTCAATCTTGACGCCTTGTTTCAACACGTCAGGGTGCTTCTTCATCATCAACCATCCTACGTGGGAGAAGAAGAAGCCGCGGTTGGCATCATGAGGATCCGCTGATGTTTCGGAGAATTTGTGATGCACGCGGTGATCTCGAACCCACTCGTAAATTGTGTTCTATTGGTAAAATTATACGTTAAACACACACGATATAGCTAGAGTAAGTGCTTATAGAATTTGATATATCCAAAAGAACTCATGTGCAATGTTATAAAAAAATTAAAATAAATAATCATCTACTTCTTAGTAACTTTTTCTAATTATTATTAGCATTCAAATCTCCGATAAAAATAAGATAAATGCAACCAAATGTTTTGCAGAAATTCCATTGGAAGGACAAAAAAAGCGCAAAACATTAAATTTGATATGGTATGGGTTAATTACCTGACCAGCCACCGAATAGCATAAGACAAGAATCCATTGGAGAGGCATCGTTGCTTTGTATGAGCGATGACACCAATACCGATGTGCCCCTCCTGTCACTCCAAACCCAGCCACCAAGCCAAAGAAATACCCTGAAATAGTTGCAACAGACCAAATCAATAAACCACTAAAGGTTAAAAGGTTCACATGAATAACATGAATTCCAATAAAATTTTGGAAAATGTAAATCAAATTTAAACATTGCAACAGGACGGGACAAATTCCCCGAATTCGTGTTAACAACCACTTATGTGATTGCACAAATTTATCATACATTGGATGGTCATGCTTTTCGTATTAATAAAAATTTTTGTGTAAATAATGTCATTTTACTCGCAATTTTACCAGTTTGAAGCGACATGGAAATTAGAAAATCCAATATCCGTAATCAACAATCAGTAAATAAGGATTTGAACTTTGTAATTTCATATCTTCATCTTAATTCTAGATACATAGTGGATAGTCTTTCGTCATGTAGGTACAAAAATGCAGACTACGCAAATGTAGTCATTATAAAATGATGATAAATCTGATAATTGTATCTATTGCGTATTTAAATCGTTTTAATGAATCCAAATTGAATTCGATATTTAAAAGATTTATTTAATTTAAATCATGGACTCGAAAATAACCAGTTTATTATTACAAATACAGCAGCATGTACATTTATGAACGACATCATGATCAACGTTTCTTTCGTCGGTACATGAAACACGATGAAAAAAAAAACACTGTGTCTTACTACAACCGGTGTACCGAAACTTAGATCTAATACTTAGCACCTTTCAGTACACCGGGATTAGATATAAAATACTTACAATATACATACTTACCAAAAATAAAAGTCTGCCATTTTAGAGGCCTTTTGCTTAAGAACATAAAGTTGAAGAGCCAAATAGCCGCCATGATGTGCATCAAGCTTATAGAAATTGTGTTGAACCATCTAATTGGAGTCACAAATCCTAGCTTTTTCTCCAGTCTTCGTATTGGGGCTAAGAACTTGGGGTCTTTGGGGCTTAGCATTTGGTCGTATGGGCTGATTTGGCATGATTTGCCATTGCTCATCCCATTAGTCTCTCTGGAGTCTTTTAATGGCTGATGAAGTTTGTACTCTATGTAGTCAGTCTCATGAATCGGCTGCTCTATCACCTCAGTCTCCGTAAAAGTTATTGGCGCCATCTTTGTTTACTGGAAATAAAGAAGAATAGTTTAATTTGTTTGTCTTCTGTTCAAGGATTTGTTCATATTCCCGTTAAGAACGTCACAAAGAAAGTCATTATTTCCTATAATTGTCCGTTACTCACAAAAAATAAAAAGGTTTAACATTTAAATAGGTCTTTCAAAAATAGAACTTCGGTAATTTAGATAAAAATACAATGTTAGTGCAAAATAGTTTCCTCTCAAATCGACAATCGTTTTATTATCGAAAATGTTTTTGTTTTACGTTTTTATTAACTGATATATTAGAAAGAATATGAGTATTTTTAAACTTCGAGATTAAGTGACTAACATTCGTAACAATAAACTCGTAATTAAAAATAGTATTTCCATAGTTATCATTTCCACTAGTCCATAGCAACCCATACCCTATAAATTTTTACCACATTTCACAATAGACCTCCATCAACCGGGGATTTTCCTTGGGTGCACTTTCATAGTGCATACAGGGATAAGTGCCGGCTGATATCCCATTTCACTTATATTAAATTTGTTCAAAGGACCTCTGCGAGTTGGCTTTGGCCCCTCGTACGCCCTCCAAAAGTTCGGGACCCTGTGGTCCCGTGATTGGAAAGGAACTCGTAATATTGAAATTAATACTTAGTGTAAACTCTTCTTTAAGTAAATAAATAACGCTTGAATCTACGGATTTTGTATTTAGAATAGGCAAGTGATTCAATCAAAATTTCACATCAATCATAAATTGACATGACTGAGCTATTATTATTATTGATCGATTTTGTTAATTGTTGTTGGTTCATTAATATCTTTGAGCAATTCCAAACAAACTGAAATGAGACATATCCATAGAAATTCCAATGCATTAATCATGGAACATGGTTCTTGTCTTTAATTTAAAGATTTTGATCACTGGAATATGCGTAGGGCAGATGTGTAGTTCAAAACTGAGCGGTAGGCATTTGGTTTTGTGTGAGCAGTGGGAAAACTTGTGTCAACTTATTATAGGCCTATGGCATTCGCAATGTTTTAACTACGTTTGATTGTAAAAACCTTAATCAAATGAAAAACAAAAATATTTATATCAAAGCTGAGTTTCTTTAGTCAAAGAAACAATTTTTCTCCAGTAAAAAATCCATTGAAGTCATGATAATGAAGAAATATTACGTGATGTATACGCTATTACTTGCGTACGCGCTGCCCTCAGATGCTCATTGCCCTGAATCGACACTAGCGCCATTACCCTTCGTTTTGGAGTATGCAGTGTGGCGAGGATGGCATCAAGCTGTCATTTATTCTCCAGACCTCGAGCCAGGTACTCGTATGACATTAAATATTAACATTCCTTTTGCGGCTTTCGCATGAACATTCCATCAGTGTACAACAGCTGGACATTAAGACCTCCAATACAAAAGAGTTTACAAGAGAAAATTTGCCATAATCTCCAATTCTTGGCAAGCGTATTATGAAGACTTATAAGAGAGCGCTATTGCCCAGTTGCTACTATAGTGATTTTAAGACATCACAAGAAGGTGTTGTAATATAAACAAATATTATGTGTCATATATGTATAGAATTTTAAAATACTTATTCAAGAAAATTGTGGTAATTACATGAACTTGTTTATAGGCACTAAAACCAGCCTTTTGTCGTTCTGAATATTATACAATACACTACTTTTTATAGGTTAAAAGATACCTTAGTAGTCAGTAAAAACGAAATAGAAAGGAATAGACAAATTAAAGTATATCCATAGCATATGTACTTACTATATTATTCGGATAATATCTACCAGCTTTCTTGTCTTTAAACGCATAAGTACGGCTAGTTTAATGAAGTGTAAGAAAACAATATACTGGTATAATGGAGGCAGCCTTGGCCCATCATTGGAATCCAGTACACTACGTAAAAAACTTCTTAACCATATATTATGCTTTACTCGTAAGAGTTAATTTGTACAGCAAAGTCAAGGTCTAGAGGTACAAATATGACACCTGCATTGAAAAGGGCCTTTTAATGGAAAGATTTCACAAAAATGGTGTTCAAAATATTCTGTAAAATTAGGTTGCCATTAAATAGTTTTTTCTAAATATCTATTTTTTAATAATTTTAAGGAACTAAATAGTTTATAATAATACAATTATCGCTTTTGAATAAACCGGTAAGAAGTGAACAGATATTTTGTTAACACGTGTTTCACATTTTCTTTTTCGTCTTCGCCGACTACCTAAAATAAGTTACGATGATTAGATTGGCGTAGGTAGTAATTCTGCGAAAAAATATGGATTGTAGGTACATTATCGTGTCATGCCTCTCTTGTATATTATGTAGTACGTGCGTACGGCGATATCATATGTTTTTTTTTTAATCCTGCCAAATCACAGTAAAACTAATGTTTATTATGACAAAGTACAGAAGTTATATGGGGTTGTAATTCGTCAGTACAAGTCTAATACCTAGAGAGATCTCGGGAAGAGGGTCATCCACCCGTATATAAGTTAGATTAACGCAGTAATAATCTGATTCTTCCAATATCTCTAATATGCAAAGCAAATTGCCAGGCACAGGAGGAACTTATACTCCATAATAAAAGCTTTTTTTTACTTTATACAGATGCAATCTAAAGAGAAACTTCTTCCTTTCATTTTTTTTTAATTATATTAGTACCTACTTCAATATGACAAACACAAAATTAAATTCACATCAAAATGTACTAACGATTACAGCGAACTGCAGTTAAGTACAGTTATTCGGGCCTGCAAGTAAATACTCATTCCAAACTCCGAATACTCAGTATTCTTATTACAGTACCCGGTATTTGCCTCACAATAAAATTTTTAAATAATAATTTTATTTTAAAGTCAAGTTCATAAGAAGTGAAAAGCAATTTAAGAGACCTATTTTAATTTCAATTTCTTATTTATGAAAGTTTATTATCAATAATTGTGTTTATTGAGATGATGAGGCGTTTCCTTGTAGGTATGGTGGTTTTAACCAACCCTCAGACTCTTACTGACTATAAAGCCTTCCGGTCTTTTTCCTGCTTTGACCCATGGCCTCGGTACCTTTTTGCGCTTTGCCCGAAACCCTGGCAGAGCAAGCATTTGATTTTGTTAGGCTACTGCTATACGACCAAAATGTGTAATTGAGAAAAGCTCTACTAGTATCGAACCACAGAGGGGTTCTTCCTCATGAGCAGCGTGCGCGGACGCGGCGACGTCGCGCAGCCTACTGGTTAGCGTTGGCGCCTGCATCGCTGTTGATGGTTGCGCTGCGGCGAGTCCAACGCGCCATCTGCCGGATACCACGCGCGTTTGCTTCCATCTCCGGCGGCGGCGCGTGTGACGATGTTGAGGCGCACGGCACGTTCACCAGTGGCGCGGGTAGTGGGTTCGAATCCGGGCCCGGCACAAAATCAGTGTCACTCCAGACTGGATACGCTCCGGACCGACGTAGTCTCCAAGCTCGGCTTCCACGCGGGTGGCAGTGCCCGGCCACCATCCCTGTTGAAGCACGGACGTCGGCTAATCTCGATGGCCTCTCGCAGTTTTCGCGGAACGAAGTATTTCTCCCTCGCTAGTCAAGGATTTTCACTCATATTCTAATCAAAGAAACATGATGCAAACCGTGCTTCGTGCGTGTAGTCGGTGTATCACCATGAAGCGGTAACATGACGACTTTCTGGTAGGACGATTGTAGAAAGAACTAGGAGGAATCAAATCATGCAGTTCGGCCGCTCACTCTATCCGATGTAAAGCCTTTGAACTGGGGCCTCCACAAGCGCATATTACGTTGATATAAAGGTAAATCTAATGTCATATAAAAGTAATTTCGTAATCACGTACCGAGACGTCACATACCTCCAAACACGAATATTTATAAATCAATTTTGTTATTCATGTACCTAAAATAATCGTAAAAAGAAGCTTTCATTGTAATATGTTCCTAATTTGAATATATCATTACAGAAACAAAAAATTCTTTTCCTTTAAGAAATTAGGATTTAGCTTCAATCTTCGAAAATCATGAATTTGTATCACGTAAATTTCATTCGCTTGTATACAGGTAATATTTACATATGTTTATATGAAAGTATGTGTACCTAAAAAACTGTACTTACTACATACAAATTAAAAATAACTACGGCTGTATTTTATTCAAGCCCGCCCATTAAGTATTTTTAAAGTAGTGAAATTAAAAACTTTTACTGATTATCAAAATCATCAGTATTATCATTAGTGTTAGTTTTACTACGAATTTTACATCTGACGCAGGTACTTATCGTATACGAAAATATCGGAATGATTTTTTTCAGGAGAATTTCAACAAATGGCTTCTTCCGCCCAGTTTAAGGCGAAAGAGAGATAGTCTGACTGAAAACCCCCCTTTCCTTCTCCCGCTTTAGGCCGAGGCCGCGGTGCCACATTGCGCGTACCCCGCAACCCCGGCAAAATATCGGAAGGTTGTCAACTGGTTTTGTAGTTAGCGGCAGGAAACATCTGGTGTCATCCTCACATTAAATAAACGTTCACATAATATTGTTATATATGAAAAGACAATAAAATCTAATTTTCTGTAAGACTAAATCAGCAAAATTGTGGCTTAGGCATCTCAGTTGTGTTTAGACTATTGAACCCGTAAAAATTAAATTAAAATCAAATCCATCTCGAAAAAATGTCATGTACTTGATCCTTGTTACTTTTTCGTATAGAAGGCTGATGATAATATTGAAATTCAGTTACTTTTATAATGTCAAAAATAAATTGTTCCAATTGTTCAATACGATTACATAACAAATAACAGTTTCTTTCTTTCATTGATTGTATGACAGACGACAAATTTATTTTTGAGTTATAAGTATGCCATTCCATTATTATGCTATTACGACGTACAAATGTGACTTTACGATACACAATCACGTGCAGAATCTACAGAAAATTGTCGATTAGGATAATAGTGTGATTATAACTAGAAAATAAAACAAATAGTATAATTTAATCATAATACGATCTGAGTTACAAATAAAGATGGAATGTTTTGTTTTTGTTACGCGAAGGAGATACGGCACGAACACCGAAGTTGATACGTTAATGGTTCCAACTGATAAATTGCATAAATCATCGTCATATTTTTACGATGTTATAGATAATAAGCCTATAATAACTTCTGATAATTTCCCATTGAGTGGTTTTCCTTATTGGGGTCTGTGTACATTATAAAAGGGAGAGAACTCATTTGAACGAGCATAATCCTTATGATATAATAATATTAATTCTGCCACCATTGAGGTTTATTATATTAAAATTATAATTTAACCATTGCGAGATAAAAATATTATTTTCTTTTTATAAAGTCAATTAGAGCGAGCTATTTTATTAAGGATTATTTTAAGATAATAAATTTTCGAACAGATCAAAAATTTTTGATCTACTATTTTAAAATTACATCGTGACTTTAATTTTCGAGTCCAGGTGTAAAATGAAGTTTGTCTTTCTTATTCTCTCTCGTTTTAATGTCAATAGTATTTGCCACCGTACTCAGAGTTTCTTAATGATTACTTTATCCACTGCTTAGTAATGGTTGCCGAAAGAAAACCATCACTATGGAATGATTTTAGTAATCATTAAAGAGTCTCTGAATAGGACACTTCGTAATTGAAAATAAAGTATTTTGATATTGACAACAGTTTCCCTATTAATTCGTTTACACTTTATATTTCATGAATAAAACTATAACTAGTGCATTTTTTTTATTCACACGTATTCAACATTTTGTGGTATTTTATTTACAACTAAACTCGCTAAAATAATTCTTTTGATGGCGATTCGATCTTAGGGTTTATGCAAGCGAGATAATATACCGCAGCCCCGGCCTAGTGTAGGAGAAGGAACGGAGTGTTTTTAACGCCCGACGCAAAAAGAGGGGTGTTATAAGTTTGACATGACATGAGTCTGTCTGTCTGTGGCATCATAGCTCTTGAACGAATGAACCGATTTCATTTTTTTATTATTACAGGTGTTTTACGGGCGAGTGTTCTTAGACATGTTTGATGAAAATCTATTGATCCTTTTAAAAGTTATGGGGGGTTAAAGTGGGGAAGAAAAACCGAATGTCTGCAAATGTGCTCAAGTGGGGTATCAAATGAAAGCTTATGACTTGTATGTCACAAAAAAACAAAAACTTTTAATAAGTTTGACGTGTCTGTCTGTGTGTCTGTGGCGTCATAGCTCCTGAACGGATGAAACGATTTCAATTAAGGTTTTTGTATTATATACTTTTAAAAGGTAACTTATTTTTTGTGTCGGGGTAATTTTTAATTTTTAATTTATTTTTAATTATTAGTCTCTAAGAGTTACTCCTTCTCGCCCCACCCAAGGCCGGAAGAAATCACTTGATGACATTGCACCCTTTTTAATAAAAATAACGTTTTAACCGCTATCGATTCACACTTTAAGATCATTTACGTAATATATTTCTTTTTTATAATAATTATATTAATAAAAAATTTATAATTTGAGAGTTTTTCAAAGAGTTTATAAGAAAAATGCAATTTATATTTGGTAATACGAGTACTTGCACAATTATAAAGAAGGTGAACCTTAATAATTAATTAAAATCATTATGTTTCTGTGAAATATGATGATTGCAAAGTTCTCAGAAGCCAATAACTGTTATAACTTATGTTATTATATCATATTCGTATAAACAAATTTTTGCGAAATCAGTATTTTTTTAAGGAAACGTTAACAATTACTTTAGCTGAAATAAGGTTATTTAAAAATTACACATTGTATTTTAATCGTAAAGAGTATGGAATATAAGATATTGATTTGAATTAAGGGCTTTATTAAATTAAATTACAAACATACTTTTTCATTGGCAATATTTCATAAAAATCTAATTTACTAATAAAATATACCCCACTCTACTTAAATGATTGATAAATTTGTATTCAAATATATCGTATCCAATAAAATATCTTAAACTATAAAATTAATAACAAAATAATACTCACACAAACAAAAAATTCCGATACAAAAATTTACACTGGAACTCACGACATGTATTATAAAAATCCTGTAAGCACAAATGTTCACGTATTGACGCACACGATCGTAAGTGTCATCTGTGCAATGCGCAAGATTCGTCCGAGCGACACTGCGCGCGCGCCTCACGTTTGAGATCCCTACGTGTCTGACACACTGTTCAAAATCTGCGTTCGCATGACCCTTGTCACGTACTTTCACTAAGGACAATGAATTTGCTAAACGAATACATCATTTTAATAGCAACATCGCTGTTATTAATTATACCTAGTAAACACGTTAAATATCAAAGGCTAGGCTTACTCATTATTGTTGAATTTAATACAATTGAAAAAACCTCAAAAGCATATCATGACAATCTGAATAAACCAATTTTATCTACACCCCATCCGCAATCCCCAAATCCCCTTTCCTTAAATCCCTAATAACCCACTGACTGTCCATGAGTGATGCCAATAGCTTACCAGCTGTGTGGGAGAGCTATGCTTTGCCGTGTGAGTGAGGTTACCTGAGGCCCAATCCTTCCCTCACCTAATCCCATAATTTCCAATCCATCTTCCCCAAAAGATCGGCAATGCACTCGTAACTCCTCCGTTGTTGCGGGTGTCCATAAGCGGCACTGATTGCTTACCATCAGGTAATAACTCTGCTCGTTAGCCTTGTTATGCTTGTTTGCAAACCTATTACTAAAGTGTTCAAATCAAATCGAATGTCTTGAATGCATAGCTATAGTGTAAAGGGGTAATTTACAATTTGTACAGATGTGGATTCTTGAGGGCGCACCCCAAAGCACTTCAAAACTTAATTATTTATTTGACTTATACATAGGTAGAGACATACAGACTGATGTGAAATCGTTACGAAAGTTAGGACAAGGTTTATACAAATAGAAAATTGAAAAAAGTCTCAGTCTCATACAAAATGTTATTGGATTTCGACAGTCAAATTGCTATTGACAGGTGGATGTACGTCATTTTTGCGAACTTAGCTATAGGGATTCAAATAACAGTATTTCTAGCTGACGAACATAATAATAAAAATGTCGAAGCAAAACCGACGTAGAATCAGGAATTTTGCTCGAGGGTCAAGTGGATAAATAAATCGAGAAAACTTTTCAAATGTACACGAAATATTCAGATAAACCTTTTTTAAATGAGAGAGAGAAAATAATTTTCAGTATTTCTTTTAGCTTAATTTCTTTTAGGTTTTAACTGGGTACTGTTAACTACTGTACACTTTTACTGTTTTTATACTACTTTCTAATCATACATACAACTTTTTGTAACGTTTCCCCTCACTTGATTTTAATCCTGTTTCATGGGTGTGTTAACAAAGATACATTTTCACATACTTATCACACCCAGACCAGGAACAACAATTTGTAGATCACACAAAGAGTTGTTTCACGGCAGTCGGTTGCCCAGCCACCGCGTCAACAGTGCAGTATATATATTTTCATGGTATAAGTCGGCAAACGAGCAGACGTATGACCTGATGGTAAGCAATCGCAAGGCGTAAAGCGCCGCCCATGGACACCTAAGGAGTTACGAGTGCGTTGCCAGCCTTTTGGGGATAGGTTTCGGATATAAGGATCGGGAAGGGATCGGTTAAAGGTCAGGATTGGGCCTCCGGTAACCTCACTCACACGGTGAAACACAACGCTGTGGCTTTTTCACGCCGGTATTCTGTGAGGCCATGGTATCACTCCGGCCGAGCCGACCGATTCGTGCCGAAGCTTGGCTCTCCCACACTTGTATACCTATATATATTAATACTCCTTTATACTTATCAGATATTAATAACATATAATTTTTATAACACACTAGACACTCCTGCTTTCTTCCAGTTTCCTCTGTCCAACTTCTATTAATACATGAGCGTAACGTTTTCTTCAATTTTGACTAGCTAGTAAAACAAATATTCCGTTCAAATGAATAATTCTAGCGATTTGCGTCGCAGCAAACAAACCAACTTATCAGCCTTATAATAACTAATAATATTTAAATACAATCTCCGGAAAGTATGTTCTATCGTTGGTATAATTTCAGAATGTCGTTCTTACATTCTTTTCTCGGGTTCTAAAAATTAAGTAAGTATTATTTCTAGTATAGTTTACAATATAGATATAATTACATAAACACAAAAAAATATGTACAAATTCCCAAGTCAATACATGATCTATAAAAAGATTTTTATTTCCACCAGGGCGGGTGGTTCAATAAAAAGACGCAGTCATGATATATGGCTTTTCATTAAATGACACCATATTTACAGAGACTCATCGCATTTTCCCTTAAAAAGCAAACCACTCGATCCTTTTAAATGAAATCCGAAAACACTTTTTCCTTCACGCAAAGTGAGCAAGCGTTTTTTTGTCGAACTAAAAAAACGTTTTTGACGAATCAAAGTGGTTTCCGATCTAAAGGGGACAGGATAAACTTTTACAATCTCGTACCTATATAAAACTAGTTTTTGTCATTTTCGTATTAATTTCTAGGTATCGTTTAAGTACTTCCCTGATCTCTTCAACAACTGAAAATTGCCTGCTAAATCCTAGATATTTCGATTTCAAAAGAAGAGTATTTAACGATGGTGTTTCTTGCTCGTTCTGCTGCATTCGAATCTATAACTTTGGAACGAGCACCTACCATCACTGACGAACAGGCTGACAGACTAGGTATTATTCTATTTTGACATTTGAAAAGTACCTGTGTGGCAAATTTAATGGTAATTTTCTTAGATATTTATTATCTAAGAAACGTTTTCCTGCTATTTTACGAACATCAGCTAACTACGAGGTTTCTAATCATCAGTTAATCTCCTCTTTCCCCCATCATTATATAAAATCCCAATAAAACAAGATATTATTTGTATAATATTGTTTAGTTTGTATCGCGTTATTAAATCTTAGGTAAGATTTGCAATAAATACCAACGTATTTACATTATAAGCGGCAAACAGAACATTATTTATTGGAGGCACATTATTTTCTTTGCCTGACTTTTTTGGATTCTTTCTTCTTGATCCCCGATGTTTCAGTAGTAACTAATTATTTAAAAATCTTGCCGATTAAATAGTAACGAATGATTGGTTTCCAGGTTTCAATGTTTGGTAATGTTGATCAAAATTGCTAATACAAATTAAGTTCTGCATTCAAATTTATCTATTATTTACATACTAAATAAATATCTTTGCAGGTTGTCAATGGGCTATAATACGACTGATGAAATGCTTAAGTATAAACGGAATAGCATCTACATCTCAGTTGCTGCACAGTTTCCACTTGCGAGCCAATATCGGTATCATCATCCTATCTCCACGACTCAAACGAAATGCCACTGCGAACTTAACGAAACTCGTCAATAAGGTACGATATTATAACGAAAGATAAATTCTAGTAGGGACAACATGCGTATTAGAAACATATTCAAACTTTTTTATGCGACGTTTCGGCAAACGAGCAGACGGATCACCTGATGGTAAGCAATCAGCGCCACCCTCTTATACGTTATATCCTCAAATCCTCTATCCTCGATTGAAATATCCTATATGCTTGGATTGAGGAGATTGGGAGGGAGGATGGGCCTCGGGTAACACCGGTCACTTACACGGCGAAACACAAAGTAAGTTTTGTTTAACGCCGATTTTTTGTGAATCCGTAGTATCACTACGGTCAAGCCTGGCTCTTCCACATTTAATAATAAATAATAATTAGTTGTTTCATATTATTTCAGTTGCATCAGCTACAAATGGATACGTCATCTTACGACTGGCTTATAACGGCGCGGTCGAATCGAGACTTTAGTTTCATAAACGAAATATTAAATGCAACGTCGCTTCGCTTTGATCAAAACGTTATCGTTTCATTCACACAAACTAAATACGTTTCAAAATCAAACAAGTTGGGTCTGTGCGATGCAAATTTCATTTACAAAGCGAGAAGTAATTCTCAGCGTCGATTGCACCGTGAATACCATCGCAATGAATACCGGAATAGTTATGGAAAACAGAATACCAAAACTGAATACGAAAGGAACTATTACCGTACCTCGGAAAGATTTATAAACCTAACAAGGAACAATACGTACAAAAAGAACGGGAGTATTTTACCTTTGTTCCAGTCAGGAATCACCAACTACAATTACTCGAGGGTGTTCACTATGTCGAATATAAGTAGATTCTCTTTGATAGAACAATCTCGGAAATGGAGCCTCGTTCACAGGCTGGAGCCGTCTGAGAGAGTGATAAGTGTTGTACAGTATTTTAAAGTACGCAGCAATTCTACGCTCTACGCCAGTTTTTTAGGTAAGGCCTGTTTGGGCTTATTGGACGATTCGCACGAATTTAACTCGCACGAAACGTGCGAATTGACTCCTTTAAAACATATTATTTTTTCTGTAGTCGATTCGCACGAATTTCTTTTCTTGGCGTGCGAATCGACACCCTCACAAATATGTAGTAGGCTATTCGCACACATATTGTTTTTTATGAAATGCAGTTAAGATAAAGTACACTTGAGCACAGAAGTAGTAAGGTCAAATATGTTTTACTCGTAATAGATAGAAAATAAAAACACAATCTATAATCAACAATATCTGTATTAAAATTAAAACTAAGTATTCATTTCTCCATAAAGACTTGGAAATGAAATACAACATTTTGGTTTGCAAGAAGTGTAATTCTTGTTTTCTTATATCCATAATCAACAAACTTCAAATCTTCGTAGCATGGAGGAATAATAAGATCTGTAACTTTTTTGAATCTCATTTTTTTAATCTGTAGTGATATGTTTCTGTGCCGATAGAGCCTTTTCTTAATATTTATAAAATTAGGAACTTTTTGTATGAGATCATATCCAGCATTATGCAAGTCCCAAACCATTTCACCATAAATTTTTGGTATAGTTGTGAGCTCTTTCTCCGATCGTTTAATGCATTTGTCTAATTGTCTAAATTACCGTCCGACACGTGTACTTTCTACAGTTACAATACAAACTAAACCAAATGTAGACCCATGACCAACCCGAGTGAGCGTGATGCCACGTTTTAAGTAATTATTATTATCACTTATTCCATACAGATTTTTCTTACTTTATTTAGTAAATCTCTTCTCTGCTCTAATCTGCTGTTTAAACTTCGATTATTTTTTGTTTTTATTTCAGTGATGGCTGAATACGACAGTACTTTAATTTTTTTAAACCTTAAAATGTAATGTGTGCGAATAGCCTACTACATATTTGTGAGGGTGTCGATTCGCACGCCAATAAATGAAATTCGTGCGAATCGACTACAGAAAAAATAATATGTTTTAAAGGAGTCGATTCGCACGTTTCGTGCGAGTTAAATTCGTGCGAATCGTCCAATAAGCCCCTGTTTGTACAAGTAATCTGTAGTTAAATACAATAATTAAGTGTCGTAGTATTACTTGCATGTAGGTATTTTATGTGTTTATTACTATGGTTGATGTATTATACCTATTTTTTTTATTTCATTTCAAATATTGTCTAGAAGAATCACCTTGTGTCATGAGACCGTCCATTGCATACTCTATGGTTAAAAGCCTGTTCTTTGTAGATTTTGTAATAATGTGTTAAATAAAGTATATTTAAATAAAGTTAATGAACAAATAAATACATATTTTTTATTACATTAAAAAAGAGATTTATAACAAACGCATAACTATTTTAATAAGAGGGGCATTAAACCTTTGTAGGTAATTGGGATCGTGTTAAGTCCATGTCAGGTGTCGAAGTTCCATATCCAGTTGAAGCTAGGAACTTCCTGGGTGAAGAGCTGGTGGTAGGAAGATGTAATTCCACTGGTGATGGAAATCCATCATTAGAAGACGATGGCCCATCTGCTGAAGAGATGTTGGATGATATCCTACATTTCCTCACAGTGCGATTAAATACTACGTAAGTTTGAGGAATTCAGAAAATTATTTGCATAAATTGTAATCCAATAAGTTCGCCCACTCGGATAGAAGAAGGTATTTAAATGTATAAGTAGTATATAACAAAGTCGGTTTTTCTGTCCGTATGTATGCTGAAATATATTAAAACTACACATACGATTTTATAATAACATTCATTCTATAGTGGAGAACTTTTGTATAAACATTGCACCCGTACGAAACCGGGGCGCGTCGCTTGTATTCCACAATATATCCTTAGATACCCCTATTATGTTTGATATGAAACAGTAATAATGAATTTAAAGCGGCTACAAAACTATCACTAAGCACGATGGCCATATTTGTACCCCCGCCCAAGGACAAATACCTAGTTGTATTGTTTTAGTTTGATAAATAGACGTATACGGAACAGTAAAAATTTTATGCTTAAATTGAACACTTCTTTTGTTTTTATATTACTACTGGTATGAGAAGTGTAAATCACTTTTTATTGCTTAGACAGACTAGACAGTATAATATAAAGTGTGTGTGTCTTTTGAATATATTTTTAGATAGATTTCTACTTTATGGTTAATCTACAAAACGAACGTAGTATAAAACTCATAAAAATAAGAACTATTTTGGTTAGACGCATTGTTAACAAACAAGTTAAGATTTATATTTACAGGGAAAACTTTAGTCACTACTTAAACGATAAATACTTTCAAACGCAATGTAGTTCGTATAACATAAGAAAAAAAAATTATGAAGATGTAAAGTTTGTATGTTGGGGGTAATCTTTGGAACCGCTGGTCGGATATCCAAAATTTTTACTGATAGATAGCTACAATATTTTTGAATGCTTATAAGGTATAAATTTTACTTGTTTTGGGTAGTTTAGTGAAGTAAAAAATTCTGGATACATTGCTTTCAAAAGCGTGTAAAGCCGCTGGCTGCAGGTAGTAATTAATTTATTTACTAGCGCAGTGTACCTAAACACTGAACGCAATTTTGCAGTCTCCAAACTACGGAGAACTTTTCACATGAAAAGAACTCAGCGTTTATTATTACCAAGTCGCAGATTCATTTCAAGGCTTGGTTCTCGAAATCAATCAATTAACAAGACGATCACTCTTAAGATACCATATTAAGCAAAAACTTCCTTTTTATGTTACCAGGTCTTCAATCAGAAACTACAGCAAATTGGGGTTTCGAACATACGAAGGCACATGGACTGGTCTACTTGGAGCTTTGATGGATCATACAGTGGACGTGGCTTTGGAACCAGTGACTGTCCATGCAGCTCGACGACAAGATATGGACTTCATCTTTCCCATTGCTGAGACCATGTAAGTCTCTTTCTCCTTCACAACGAAGAACAATTTTGCATCCCATGAGACTCTCCCCCTTGCCCTCAACAAGGGGTGAAAAAAACAACAAACTTTCTGCCTGTCGTCTCTATCTACTTAGGATTACATTTTATATACATTTTGTTAGTTATATGTCTGTACGATGCATCAGCATATATCCGACCTTTGCAATTATATTTTGTGTTTGTTGATATTTATCAGTCATGTACCTTCCGGAAGTTGAGGCAGGATCAAAGATCTTGTGAACAAAATCACGGATGAAATCCAAGTCCTTAATTTTATGAGACTTAATATAATTACGTATGTAAATATGACCAGCAAAATAATGAGCTTCCCAAGAATTAATCATACATATAAGTAAATGGAAAACTGGAAACTGGCATGATTTCTGCAAAATTAAATAAACTCAAGTACAAACATGAGTACCTACGCTTTAAGCAGAAATTGAGTAAGTTAAAGTAGAACCAAACAGCTGTAGTTAAACAAGTCCAACATTGCCACTAAAAAAAGTCAACCGAAATTTAACAACCTTTATAAGACCAGAGTTCTATGTTGTAGGACTTAAACCGAGTAAGTTAATTTCTCGAGTAACCTGAAAACTAATAGTATTCAAACAGAGACGCGACGATGATACTGGAAAATTTTGGATGACATGTGTATCTTGTCATGTAGAAAATAAAGTTGGATTTTGAGCCGGTTTTCTTAAATGTGCTGGCAGTTTCTCACCGCGCTTTGTGTCAGTGTGAGATGGACCTAAAGTTCAAGCACTTACAACTGCTTTATTGCTCTTTTTGAAATGCCTTTGTCTTTTTTTCTGCCTCCATAGGTGTAACATCTACATTCGCCAGCAAGAGACTTCAACAGTCAGGGACATATTCCTGGCCCCATTCAGCATTCGTCTAGTCGCCTGTGTGGTTGCGGTGGTCCTGATCGCTGCTATTGCCATCGTGCTGATCAGCCACGTCACCTCAACCATCTGCGTGAACAACCGCCGCATGGGCTACACTGAAGCATTAATCTGGTCGACTGGGATCCTTTGTCAGCAAGGTAGGTGATATTATATAGATACTCAGACTGCAAGGCGGACGCAGTGGCTAGGCAATTGACTGATATGCAACGTGTCGCGAATCGCAATCCGACACGGATATCTTTATCCACAAATTATTGTTTTGAACACATACCCAACCCCATAAGAGTTACTAGTGCATTGTCAGCCTTTAGGGGGATTAGGGGGATTAGGGTTTTGGATTAGGGAATTATATATGGATTGAGGAGTGTTGATTACACTGTGGTTTTTTTCATGCCGTTTTTTTTAATGAGGTCTTGGTTTTTGGTTGCCTCTCTAACTTGTCGAACCATTACTACGGCATAGCTGACCCAAGTCTTAAAATAATTGAACAGAGCCACGTTTTAATGCCAAAAAAGAAATGAAAGTGTCAATAATATTTCTACTGTATATATAATATATAATTGCACACACTGAACTTTCCTCACAATAGATTACAGCAAATTAGGTGGTATGGTGGTAATCAGCAATATGGTGGTATTAGATGGCTTCTAAAAAAATAGTATACTCGTTATCCAAACATAACAAAATTTGAAAAAAGATTAGTAAACTTACATATTATTTCGTGAAATTCAAAATTTGAATTTAGAATTTAAATAGATCTGATACGTAGCAGCCATCATACAGGAGGAGTCCTGTGAAACAGGCCCTCAATTACATATCTACCTACTAGAAACAACAATTAAAGATATATCTACATTTTTTTATGGTATATGTCGGCAAACGAGCAGGCGGATTATCTAATGGTAAGCAATCGGCGCCACCCATGGATACCCGCGAAACTAAAGGAGTTACGAGTGCGTTGCCGGCTATTTAAGGTTAAGGGTTTTTAGAATATAGATTGGGAAGGGATAGGTGGAGGAGGAGGGGTTGGGCCTACGGTAAGCTCACTCACACGACGAAACACAACGCTGTGGTTGGTTCACGCCGGTTTTCTGTGAGGCCCTGGTATCACTCCGGTCGAGCTGACCCATTCGTGCTGAAGCTTGGCTCTCCCACACTTAAAATTTTAAATTGCTAAATAGACAAGATTATAATATATCTTTGAGGTCACAACCATCCGGTAAATCGCTTTTACTGAAACTAAAACCGTACTTTTTCTATTTCCTCGATTTTTATTCAGCTTTATTAAAACTTCTAACGAAAGGAAGTCTTCAAATACGTTTTGCGAAAGTAAGAAACGGTAGCTTTTTCCGATGTGCACTTAAATTGCTAGTAATCGGACTGAAATGTTTCTTGAATTCCGTATAGAATCGTGACGAAGGTTTTATTCTATATTGTTTATAATTTTCTAAAGGTATTATAATGTTAATACTGTTGCTCACACTTTAACAATTCGCCTTTCAGTTATTTCTGGCTGGTAAAATCTATACCAGTGACTAAATTAACAATACTTATTTATAATGGGTGTATACAAGAAAATTCATAATTCAAAGGAGACAAAGTCTATTAAGTACTAAATAAAAGTAATTAGTAGGTACTTACAAATGATACTTGTGAAGTGTTTCGCAGTTGTACACAAACTAAACGAGATTATCATACATTTGGAACATAATGGACCTACTCTCTATTGATAGTTTCACTCTTCCGGGAAAGCGCGAGTTGCGTATTTCGAATTTATTATTTATTAGGTTCATGTAATACATTTTTCAAGTTATATATATGTGCATTCTAAGAGTATCTAGATACACAGAGTCAGACAGACATTCGCATATGGTGAAGGACTTGCATATTATTTCTAATCTTAGGTTTAAAATGCACCCCGAGCAAGAATGGTAACTAAAGACCATGTTTTTTTAAAAAGACAACGTTGCCCACACTACGATTTTCTCCTGTATCGAAGGTGTGTTTACAAACATACAATTTCACATACACAAGACATCCAGACCCGAAACAACAATTTGTGGATTTCACAAAGAATTGTTCCGTGCAATCAATATATGTATAGGTACTCTCTGTATGGAAAGACACTTATGATGATTATAATGTTTGCAATAAATTAATTCAAAGTTATGAACAAAACAAAGCATTGAAATTTTCTAATCAAATCATTAATGTTTCTCTCGTTGTATATTCTAAAATCATCTACGCAAATCAAAGTCTATAACTAACTATATAACAACGTATACAAAGTATGTAACATAACTGATTATTAAGAATGGGAAAGCGCATTTCTTTTTTTTCGTAATGGGCAGGCATTTGGTCGGTATTATGCTTGGCGGTAAGAGATAATGCGACCTACGATAAAGTATGCCTAGCCCTTCAGCAAACTATTCACTTGGGCCTTGAAAATTCGGCAATTTTTTCTCGACCGGATTGATACCATAGTCTCAAAGAATATTGACATGAAACAACGTTTGCGCTGTGTTTCGCCTAACGAGTAAGGTTACTTAAACATCCCCATCTTGATCCTAATCCCCAAATTCCTAACAACCCACACAAGCTCGGCAACACAAATGTTACCGTTTGGTGTTTCGAATTTCGATACTTAGGCGTCGCCCATTGCTTACCCTCAGACAAGACTTTTACCGCAAAAAAACAACATATATCATAAAAACATTATTTGACAAGATAATAGGAATACTTATGTTTATGAAAACTAAAACAATGAAAGCTTTATCATGTTACTATTAGTATGGTGTTTTATGTAAACTCAATGTTTATACATTACCTAGTACATACTTACATTAACGATATACTTCCGTGGTAAACAAATTACGTACGATTACTTCTGATTAAAAACACTTTTCACAAAATAATACAAAAAAAAACTTAAAAACAAAACATAATCTTACGATCGCTGTTTGTTTGTCTTTTTCTTAAACAACATTTTTACATCATCAGCCTTTGAGTGCCCACTGCTGAGCCCAGGCCTTTTTTCACACGGAGAAGGTTTGAGCATAAATCACCACGCTTGCTCAAGCGGATTGGCAATTTCAAACTTATAATTAGAAATTATAAGTTCGGGTTTCCTCGTGATGTTTTCCTTCACCATATATCAATGAACTTAGAAATTAGATAGAAATTGGAAAAAGAAACATTGGTTTTCAAACCTGCGACCTAGCCTCTGAGCCACTACATCAAGTAAATGACAATATGAACAAATAACACAAAAATGTCCTATCAATGAAGCTATGAAACTTATTAGAAAACGGTAGGATATTACTATTTTGGGCAAGTTCAGGTATCTTTTCTTTAAAAAAAAACGTTGCTCCACAGTAAGATTTTCTCCTGTGTCGGGGGTGCGTTTACAAACATAAAAACTCACATACACAAGCCACTCAGACGCTAAACAACAATTTGTGGTTCATACTGCGCGGCCAGCCAGTTGCCCAGCTATTGTGCCAAACGTGCAAATATTTATCAGTCATATTCGGCACACTAATTATTTTGTGAGAGACATGAGATACTCTCTTCAAAACAAATTGTAATTAGATGAAACTTATATTTTTTTAATGTGATAGGACGGCAAATGATCTCCCGGATTACCTGATGGTAAGCAATCAGCGCCACCCATGGACCCGCAACAACAGAGGAGTTACGCGTGCTTCGCCCACCTTTTGGGGATTAAGGATTTGGAGATTTTGGAATTGGGGAGGGATTGGGGAATGATTCTCTCACTATCACTCACACGGTGAAATATAACACTTTGGTTGTTTCACGCCGGTTTTCTGCAAGGCCGTGGTATCACTCCGGTCGAGCCGATCCATTCCTGCCGAAGCATGGCTCTTCCACACTTTAATACTAAGATACTATGTAGATGTATCTACGTATATCATAGTACCCATAGTTGTTCTGCTTTGTACTCGCTAAAGTCCTCTAGTAGTTTAAAGGGTGGTATGATGAAATTGACTAGAAAGCCGTTTGAGCAAAGCCACACGCACGACAATGCAGCTCTACCTACTCGAAATTACTGCACAAAGCAAGTTTGGAGTTAGGCATTTTGACCAAAGTATGTTGCATTTTAGGCAACTAATAATGAAAGAAAATTTACATTGGTTTAGTTGAAGATTGTAGCATCCTATTATTTATTTTTAGGATTCCGTATCCAAAGTGTAAGAACGGGAACTTTATTACTAAGAATCTGCTGTCCGTCCGTCTATCTGTTTTGATGTACCTCATGACTTGCGATAGTTTGACTGTTACTATTTGAACAGATGCTGTCAAAATCAAAATCAAATAATTTATTTCAAATTACTATTCCAGCTTCAAAAATTAAAAAAAAAAACAACAGATGTACTTCAGTTGCCTACAAATACCACGAAAAACAAATAAAATATTTTTTTTTAAATATTATTGACGTTTATTGTTCTAATAAATAAATAACAAAAGTTTAAGTGTGAGTCTGACTTAAACTTAGCCGTTTTTTGTAAGATCAATTACGATTAAGTGACGATGACATACATATTTCATTACATTATAAAAGTATTTTGCCCCTTTAAAAAAAAAGTTTGCTTTTATTAATATTATTGCTAAATGTCAGTCAATAAGATTTACTTTAAGGTAAGGTAATAAGGTTTAAAGCTTATTCATTCATAAAATTTCACGTTTCGCCTCAGAATTCATTCACTCGTATTAAATACATTTATTTAACTTTGCTTATTCGAATAGAACGGTACTCTTTACTATGCTATGAATCGATACATTTCTTAGAAATCATAACTAAATCTAATGTTCGGTGATTTAACTCAAGTCATAAGACGACGACACCAATTTAACCTGATCCTAAATATATTAATCAACAAAACGCTTTTTATGCCGTTCCGTGGTTTTTGAGGTAGTCCATTATCTTGGGACTAACTTATAATTAGCTTTTCTTTTGTGACAGGAAAATCATCAAAAGACTTCTCGCGCCCAGGCTGAGGCGAGATGGAGTGTCAAACTCCTACTGACTAACCTACTACTTTCTTCTACTCTAGGCCAAGCCCACGCTACCTTTTTGCAGTTGCCCCGCAATCCCGAGTTAACATCGGCCCTGTAATGTCCTGTTTTCTTTTTGTGGGGGGAAAATCTACAAATGATTTCTCTCGACCACAATTTCAGACTTTTACCGACTATTAACCCTCCGTTCTCCTGCGGCTGAACACCTGCCGTGTAGAGTCCCCGTCTGTGGTGATTTTTTATTAGTCAAATTAAGGCGCGCGCGAAAAAAGTAACTGCTAGAAAAACAAGCTAGTTCTTGAACCAAACTTCTTCTTGAACGTAAGAATAATTTCGATCACAGTGTCCCTTTTTACGCGTCTTTTCACGAAATGTACTTTAATTGGGTAAGTGAAGGTTTATTTTTCTTTTTTCAAGGTGGTACCTGGACTCCTTCGAATCCCTCGGGAAGTGTGCTGCTAATCGTTTGCCTGTTCTTTGCTGTGGTGACTTACAATGCGTATGCGGCATTTATAACCTCCGTTCTGTCTGTAAGAGTGGCCAGCGTCGATACCATCGCAGCTGTACTTCATTCGCCGAACTTCAAAATTGGGTACATAAGGAATGGAGCTGATCAAATGTACCTCATGGTATGTAAACTTATTTATTAGTATAGATCGTACTATATAACTGTATAAGGCGTCCCACTATTCTGAATAATGAGGCAACTACGATTAAACTATTATGAACGGTTTGATACTCGAAAATTCACTTCGTTTGAATGAAATTCCGGGAATAAAAATGTAATAATTAAGTGTAGGAAAGCCATGCTTCGGAACGAATGGGTCGGTTCGACCGGAGTGATTCCATGGCCTCGCAGAAAACCGCCAAAAAACAGCATTGAGTTTCGCCGTGTGAGTGAGCTTAACGGAGTCCTAATCCTTCTTCGTAACTCCTCTGCTGGTATCCTTAAGCGGTGCCAGTTGCATACCATCAGGTAATCTGCGTGCGTGCATGCCTTTCTACCATATAAGTGTAGGAATGGTGCGGAAAATTCTTTAAGAATTATGTACATAGATACTCAGTCAAAATTAAACATAAAGATCAGACAGACAGTGTATACAAGAAAAGAGAAATTGTCAACTTATAAATTAATAATATATCTACATCGCTCAAAGGGGAAGAGCAAAGAGTCTTTGAGTGCAAAAAGCCTTGAGTGTCTATAAATGCAATTTCTTCTACGTTTGAACGAAACGTCGCTTGCCGCCATACCCATGAGAAATTCTAGACATTCTAGTCTTTGATAGGTAAAACAATATTTACACATCAATGGAATAGCAGTGCGCTCCCCTATTAGAATCATCTATTTGCCTATGAAATGCCATTTGGTATGCAGTATAAGGCCAGTTTTATATTAAATTTTGTTCAAATCTATCATAAAACATTCACAATAAACTTCCAAATGACCTAAAAAATCTTAACCTAATGTCTTTTAAAAGAAAATTGTTTAAGTTTTTGCTAAATAAATGTTATTATTGCACTAAAGATTATTTAGATGACCTATCATAGATTTAGAATAAGTAGTGCATAGTTATAACTAGATATTAAGCTAAATAATTTGTACTCCAATTCGGTAGAATGTGTGAGTGTGTGTCAATGAATAAGAGTTCCGTTATTATTTGAAATTAGTAGAGCTTTTCTCAATTAATTCACTGGACTTAATCGTTATTTTCAATAAATGAAGCCAAATCTTTTTTGTGATTATACATTTTACTATCCGTCTATATAGTCATTATTATAATTGTACTGAATAATCTTTATTTTCTTACCAAAACACCGAATTAATTTGCTATATGTACTCAGAAGGATTGACAACAAAATTAGTATTGGACAAAAATCGATATTTTAAATTGTTCATTGACGGGATTCTATGAGGAAGTATGTTTATTGATTTTACGTAATCGCTTGACTTTTTGTTGATAGGGGATTACCATGAAATGACTTCTCTCGCCCTAATCTTGATGGCTAAAAATCATCCCGTTGCATTTCTTCTCCCATTCTTGCGACCGCTAAGCCAGTGTAGTCATTTTAATGTGATAGGACGGTAAACGAACAGGCGGATTACCTGATGGTAAGCTATTAGCATCGTCCATGGACGCCCGCAGAGGAGTTACGAGTGCATTGCCGACCTTTTTGGGGTATAAGGGTTTTGAAGATTTAGGGATTGGGGCGGGATTAGGGAGAGGAGGGATAGGGCAGTGGTCTCAGTTTTTTTCTGTGAGGATTTAATATAAGCTGTCTTAACTTTATATTAATATTAATTAAGTATTCTGTAGTGTGTAGCAACATATCGCATTGAGTGTAGACCTACCAGGATGAGTTGATTTTAAATAAATAAATAAGAATAAAAAAAACAATCTTTTGAGTACCTACTTTTAAATACTTTGAATTACAGAGTTCATGTTTTTATGTAATTTATAATGCAAAATAATCTTCAGTAGGAAGTTATAATTTTCTTTTGTACACATAATTTATGTATTATCAACATGTAAATTAAAATTATTTTAAAACCGCAACAAATTCAAATGAAGAAGGGTTCGCTACGTCATCACTTGCTATTAATTATCGCGCATGCGTCAATATCATACAATGCCTTTGTTGTTTTGTCTTGATCCTGTAAAAAAACTACTACACTACACTGCTGCAATACTAGCTACTCTCGCGCGGTTTCACCCTCTGCTTGTTTCCATTTAATCGTAGCGCGACGTTTTAGCGTATAGCACTTAGGAACTAGTAGCTATCTATTTTAAAGAATACAACAAGCGGTTCCAAAGTTTACCCCCTGTAATACCCACAAACTTACAAATTTTACCTCTTTATAATATTAGTATAGATTTTATAAATTACTAGCTTCCGCCCACGGCTTCAAATGCGTATAGAGGTAATATTTCGACTAAAGTACGCAAATTAAGTATAACTTATTGTCAAACAGGAACATTGTAGCTATCAGTGAAAGAATTTTGGAAATCCCACGGTTTCAAAGATTACCCCCTACATATGTACAAACTCACAAATTTTACCTCTTTATAGAAGTATAGATAAAGATAAAAACACATTTTTTTACGCATTGTAGATAGTGTTAGAAAAAAACTTTAGTCAGGTAAAGTATTAAGTACTAATGATCCATAACACACGCATAAAAATATGAGCAGATACTTGAAAAACTGCTTTGTTATAGAATAAAAGAAATATGATTATATTTCATTGTTTTCTTAAACCAAAAAGGATCGTTAAGTTCGTTCTTGACCTCTTAGACTCATAAGACATTTGACAACCATTAAAAAAAGGAAAATTTTGTGTGGTTTGAACAATTGTGAATTGAAATTAAAAAATTAAACAATGAGAAGACCCATGACGTTTGTAGTGCCATAATCGAAAAAAAATGTTAAAACGATGTTTCTTCAACTTTTTCGACGAACTTGTTTTCTGAATGACATATAAGATTTAGCTTTTGAGCCTATTTTGGGGTATCTACCATATGCACAAGTCGTGGGTGCCTTAAGGTAAAGGCGGCCGATCCTGTTGCATGAGGGTGCAGGTTCGAGACCCGTCAAAAAGTACATACTGACTTTTTTCTGAGGTAATTTAGATACCGTTTACACACGGTGAAGGAAAACATTGTAAGAAAACCTAGATCTTTTAATTTGTAATTGGGTAGTTTCCAAGGTCAAAAATAAATTAATTCGACGTTTCAACAATAAAACATTGAAAAATAACTATACCTACTTTTATTCATCGATCAATCGATACAATCAATTTCGAATAATTTTAGTTATTTTTTAAAAAATAAGTAAAAAATAATACAATGACGTCATCAGAACTCAGAGTTTCATACATTTTTTATAGAAATGTATCGTTTTTGACATTTGTATAGAAGTATTGAATTTGACTAGTTAGAAACTACCGTATTATAAGTTTGAAATTGCCAATCTGCCTTGAGGAAGCGTGGTGACTAGTGCTCAAAACTTCTCCGTGTCAGGGGGCACTTATAGGCTGCTGATGATGACCTTACCTTGCTCAACATTCTAAATAAATCTACTGTGTTGATATATCTTAACAATTTTGTTAATATATAAAACAAATAAAAAGAAATTTTGTAAATATTACTTGCACGATAGAAGGTCATCTGAATGTCAGGGTCCCTCACTCCTAATTTTTGCGAGGACAAGTGTAGTCTTGCACACAAGCACTATTTTTTAATTTATTATATATTTCCATTCACATTTACGTACCGTTTGTTAGTAATCTTACGACCGAACATTTTATCACTTATCAATAAATAATAATTAATGACATATTAATAATAATTATCTTGATGCTGAACCTCTTATTATCCATAGATACTAATATTATAAAGAGATCAAAATTTGTAAGTTTATATACATATATAGGGCGTAATCTTTGGAACCGTTCGTCGGATTTCGGAAGTACTTTCACTGATAGATAGCTACAATGTTCCTGAGTTCCTTTGGCGGGTCTATCGATTCAAGCGCTGCCGTTTTTAAAATTCCATGATACATTAATTTAATACGCGTGCGAAGCCGCGGGCTGAAGTTAGTTTAACACATTCATTTTGAATGGGCTTGATGTTGAATTTTTTTCAATTTTAGTAATTCCATTTTATATTTCAGTCGACAAAAGATGTTCAATTGAATGCTTTCTACATTCGAGGATATTCGGATGCGGATAATTTAGTGTCGTCGGCTGAAGAAGGGTTGGCCAGAGCCGCGAGTCAAGACTATGCCTTCTTCGCAGGACAAAGAGTTGCTCGAGCCACTTTAAGGTACTTTCATCACTACATAGTAAAAAACAAAGTCGCTTTTTCTGTCTCTATATCACTATGTATGCTTTAATCTTTGAAACCACTCATCCAATGTTGAGAAAGGTTTATATGAATAATAACATCTATTAATAGTGGAGCAATTAAGAAACAACATTGCAACCCTGCGAAGCCGGGTCAGGTTACTAGTTCTTATACGAAAATAACATATTATTTTTTAGTATTTTTTTTTTTAATTTTCAAGTCTCTGCGATTTTATTTTCATTTTTTTTTTTGCAAACTGAATGGTATCTGAAATATAATATATTTTAAACTTATTCTTTTGATCCTAACTTTTTGAAATCCACAAAAGCTTCTAGTCTATAAACTTTCTCTTTTGACTGATCCCACGCTGCGAATAGGAGAGACATTCTAAATAAACAGAGATTTCATATTTATTTATTTTTTATATTTTCAATCGTAAAAAAGAAATATTTATTGGTTGATATGATAACAATCCTTATTCTGTGCACGAAAATAAAATAACATTTGTAAAAAAACGAAGTCTTTCTTCATTTACAATATATTTTTATTTCGAGAAGTTGGGGATACAGGATACTTACAGGGGATGGAAGCTCTAGTTACAAAACGGAAAATTTTTGATTAATCTATTTGTCACGTCGTCGGTAAAGGAAATGACTGAAATAGACATGGGAGTTTTATTTAAGGAGTTTTATTTTCATATTAATCGCTTTTGAAAAAACTCTTAAAATAATACACGTAGGTGCGAATTTAAAGTACTTCCTACATCACATATCTAGTAAATTTTTGATCGAATTATTTTTATTGTGAATGATGGTCAATGTTGCTACGTTCACAAAAGACAAGTACCACTAACTGGAAGGTTATCTTCAAAATCAAAATGCTTGGTGGAAGGCTGGTCCTGCTCTGCTGTTGGCGTTTTTATCCTTAAATCTTTGTTTGAAGTTCAAAAGACTTTGACCTTGAACATTGACATAAGTAATGATTTTTCAAAATTGAAATTTATTGTTTTTTCGAAAATTTATTTGTTTTTCGTAATATGCTTATAAGTCAAAGTCAAAAAAGTCAAAAATCATTTATTTCAATTAGACCACAGTAGGCACTTTTGAACGTCAAGCAAGCAAAAAAGGAAAAAAGTATATAACAAGAGCTTTAAAATTAAGCGTGTCAGTCTGTCCGTCTGTCCTCTAGTGAAGCTATTTGCTCGTTCCAAAGTGTAGATTCCTATGGAGAAGAACGAGCAAGAAACTCTATGGTTACTCTTTTTCAATCAGTTTTACAATACATTTCTTTGTTACATCATTTAGTCGGTTCTGATATGTGAGAACAATGTAACACTAATGTTCAGGCAAAAGTACGAAAAAGAAGTGAACCTCAAGGACAACATAATTAGACAGCCTGGAGCATATTTAGTTGATAAAAAACATGTTTTACAAATTCCCTATAAACTGAAATCGTAAAACGGTATTTTCACCTATACAGGTCACTCAGTCAAGCTCGTGGTCGGTGCGCAGTCAGGGAGTTGCCGGTACATTCCACTCGTGCGCATCTCGCCTTTCCTCTGCCACGTCAGTCGCCTTATGCCAGACCTACTCTACTATCGTAAGTAGCCTTAAGCTTTGACACTATGGATACAACTAAACTAAACTTGGCAAGCCTTTAACCCAAAAAATTCGTTGGTATTTTGATCTTACCTACAATTTCCAAATGTTCAGCAGCTGAAATTTTACATCATTAATACCTAAAAATACAAATATAAATCAAAAATTGATACACATTATCGTACCTGATGTAGGAATTTTTGCGCGTATAATATCATTAATTGACTTCTTTCTCCCTGGATGTAGTGGGAGAAAGGATGTCAGACTATTAAGTACTGCGTAAATCTACCCCTTTTCTTCTTTTGCTCAAAGCCGGCGCTGAGGTAGGTACATTATTGCGCTCGCCCTGCAACTACCTACCGTTTATTAGCTCTTTGAGCCGATCCCAGAACACTAAGCACCATACGCTCGAGCATACTTCTAGTTAGGTGTCGAGCTACCGCGACCGTCCGTAGACCCGTGCTTACGATGGCCGCAGATCGTCACGCGTCAAAACCCGAAACGCCTCCTACTGCGGTAGTTGGGGCTTAAGGAGGATTAGTTCCCTCAACTGTTCTCGAGCATGACGGCTTCGGAGGGGAGACGGCTTCCCAGTTCCATCATACCTAGACTAGACAAAACAATTAGTGAATCATACAAAAAAACACACAAGAACACGTTGCTATATGGAAAACATAAACTGATATTCAGTGCGATTACATTTTTTAATAAATTAAGATTCTGTTTAATAACAGATCTTAGTTTTAGTAACAGATAATGCTTACGTGACTCGGATAGCGCAGTGCGCTCAATCCTTAATAGTGTGAAACCAATATGCAGGTTAAGAAGCTTTTACAACCACTTGTATGATTATTTCTTAAAAAAGAACTAGTGATGGATAATTTATTCAAATATTAAGTGTTAGTATTGCATGTCAAGGTATGGTGTGAAGGCAGAATACGGCGTAGAAAGCATTATGTCACCAATACTAGTCTTATAACTGGTATCGCAAGGACCAATAAAAAACTGTTCATTTGACATAGATTAAGTAGTCGAGTCTTCTGATAGACCTCAACCCTTTGAACTATGATCTCATGTAAAGGAAGGCCAGTGTGTACGACCACCGTTAGTACCGGTCTGCGGACGGCGAGCACATGACATGACAAAGACATACAGATATGATGACATATAGATATGAGGTCCTGAACGAAGTAGAAGCTGGAACTAGGTGGTTTATAGTCAGTAAGATTCTGACACTTTCAAATTCAAATTCAAATGCATTTATTGTTTCTTACATTGTGTTAGTTTAGGTCTCAAAAATATCATTTACTAACTCCCGCACGCGGCTTCGCCCGCGTGGTATGTTGATAAAAAGTAGCCCATGTCCTATTCCGGAGTATATCCAATGCCTATGCTAAATTTTATCCAGATCCGTCCAGGCGTTTTGGCGTGATCGAGTAACAAACATCCAAACGTCGTAACTTTTGCATTTATAATATTACTAAGATAAGATACAAGTTTCTCAGTAACACACCCGGGGATGTACAATCTTTGTTTACAATAGAATAGTTTCCATTAAAGAAAAATATAATAATTTCTCTCGTCGTACTCCGGGCGCGAGAAATCATTTGATATTTTTTACCCTCAAAAACCAGCAATTATCGAGAACTGTCAATGTTGATCTTACAATATAAGTATGGCTATAATAATACCAGAACAAGATTTTTTTTAACTTTCTGACTGATTCATTCGTGAATATTTTTTATGATGTTGAGTTGAATACATTTAAAATAAACTTTTATTGTTTAAGTTCATTGACTTTTTTTGTGCATAATAGTGATATTTTTAACTATATGAAGAATGTTTTCTCAGATCTTGAACAAAATTAAATTCTGAGTAGGTCCTATCTAGAATTGTGTTTTGATATTATACATACATACATTATTATTCTTACCTATACGAAGTTATAAATATGAGTATCATAACATTACTCGGAAGATTGAATATATTAGTATAATTAAACTCCAATACTCAAAACAAAGTAACCTCATTTTCTGAGTTCCCATAGTAACTGCCTAGTTCCTATAGTAATTGCCTATAATTTTAGTAATATAATTAACTTCAACTGTATATGCTTATTGAAAAATATAATAGATAAGGAGTAGGTATAAATCTGGCATGTAAGTACCTACTAATATGTTTTTTTTAATTAAGTTTCTAACATAATTTAGATACCACTAATATACATTTAAGAACTTAGGTGTTAGTTCTTATTATAAGTTTATCGGTGAAGGTGACATTAAACATCGTGAGGAAACCAGGACTTATAATTTCTAATTATAAGTAAGTAAGTAAGAAAACACCAACCCGCATTGAGCAAGCGTGGTGATTAATGCTCCAACCTTCTCCGTATGAGAAGAGGCCTTTGCTCTGCAGTGGGCACTTACAGGCTGATGATGATGATGATAAGTTTGAGTCTTCTTTGTAACGTTTCAGTCTTCTCCAGCTTCGCAGTGGTGGGGCTCTGGCCCGACTTGAAGCAGCACTGGTGCCAGATATGCCACAGTGTGCTCCACCTCCTGGCTTCGCCTCCGCCAGGGCCACTGACGTACGATCTGCCCTCATCTTACTTATAGTCGGACTCATTACGTCTCTTACAATCGGTAAGATTTTTTTTTACAATCATACATTTAGAAGAAATTCTCAACTTTTCTATATAAATCAACTGACTTTTCCAAAGTAATATAACATGATATGTAGGTACAAGTAACTTTCTTTGAGAGTAAATTTCCGAATAAAATTCGCCATTTCATATTCGGTTAATAAATCTTATAGCCCTTTTTGCTGGCTTTAATTTACCCGATCTTGATGATAATGTCAGGGCCCTTGTAGTAAGGGCACTACGAGTCTCGATGACCATCTGCCATATGACGTCATATGTACATTTCTCAAAATTGACGGAGGCGAAACATCACAAGGCGAACCACAAGACATGTTTCGGAACCGGCTGTAGTGTTGCACTTTTGATCATAAACAATCGGAAGGCGGCAGGCCAAGGTTACGAACAAGGTGCGCCTAAAAAGGTTACACACTTGTTTCAATTTCTTTTTATTTCTCCTAAATGAGATTTGATAATTCAAAATAAAATTTATAAAGAAAGTCTTATACCTTAGTACATCATTTTTATTGAAGACTTGAAAAACATAAATATCTGCTATGTAATCAAAACAAAATCTCTCAAAGAGAAATTTTAAGCAGTATTGGTATCGATAAATAAATCTGATTTTTGCGCTATTAAAGACTTGTGTAATTTAGGTAATTTCTAGGCAACTACTTATTGATATGAAGATTAGCAGGTACATAAATACGAATAATGTTTGTTCTTATGTTTCTTTCTTCTTCTTCAATCCTTATGATTTTGTGAATTGAGTACTTCATAATACACTTTGTTCCAGGTCTTGGAGAATATTGTTGGAAAAATCGGAAGGAATTGAAAACTTTCTTAGCTTCATGTTATCGTAGAATAATCAATATTGTTCTGCATTGAAAGTTAGCAATGTAATATTTATGTGTTTAGTAAACTTAAGAATTAATTAACCTTCGTTACCTAAAACCTGATTTAAAAAATCGTAGTTATTGAGATCGGTTTTGATGTCGGGTATTAGCAAGTAGATCCACGTGTTTTGCACAAAACTAAACGTCACCTAAGTTTATCAATTCGGTGTATCTATTTTGATAAAATTTCTGGCATGATAATAATTAAAATTAAAAAAAAAAGATAATAAAAACATTAGGAGATTATTGTAGGTATAGCAAAAAATTTAAATTGAGTTTGGCATTCGTAAGATTTTATAGTAATTTTAGATTAATGTAATTACATCCTCATCATTACACACCATTAGCTTTTAGGTGACTACTGCTGACCAAAAACCTCTAGGTACTTACACTGAGAAGGCTTGATCATTAATCACTATAAAATAAAATAAAAATAAAATAATCATCATTAATTACTATGTTTGTAAAATTCACTCTCGTGCATGATTAGCGGGCGCCATAATCTCTGGGTCCCCACCACATAGCTTCATGATTTTTAGTCCTTACTTTTAATTGTTTAGGGCTGATTTTTCAATAATCAGATAAATGTTATCTGAAAAATAAAATTGTTTCTGTCACTATCTTATACAAACATTCTGATGTGACAGCATCATAATTATTCCCCAAGTAACTTTTATCTAACCAGTGAAAATCATCCCTTAGACTCATTGAAAAAATCTATAACTTAAAATCCGTGGGCATGATTGACGTGTGGCATGTAGACTATCTTAAGGTCGACCTATAGGGAATGTCTCATTATCACCCAAAGGTCGGCTGGTAGGAAAAATGACATTTCCACTAATACACATCGCTGTAAAAAGTGTTTTCACACATTTTCAAATCCAAACGACATGTCCGACGTTAGCAAAGGATTTGCTTTCGAAATCTTCGGAATTTTTAATGACAAAGTCTTAATAAATATGGAGCTCCAATACCCCATTCTCAACCCCCAAATTTTGTATTCTCAATTACCTAACTACCCACTTAAAGCCGACAATGAACTTGTAACTCCATTGGTGCCGTGGGTTTACATGGTCCTCGCTGATTACTTACCATCAAGAGATCTGTTTGCCGACCTAAGGTGCCGAAGTTGTTTCTTCTTTACTCAGAACTTTGCTTCACTGCATTCATTTTATCAACATAATAACTTTTCTTACTAAGAAACCGTACAACTAAAAACTAGATAAATAAAACAACGGCAATTGTATTAAATATATAAAAAATGTATTATATTACCATAAAATAAACCTAAATAAAACTAATTACAACGTAACATTAAGCTCTCTTAAGATAATGTTCTTCAGGTAGCTTTTGGTTGTTGACAGCTGCATCTATGCAGGCCTTTAGGTCCTTTTTGGTCCTCGCAGACTCAGCTAAGGCCTTCTGGATAGTTACTGTCTCAACTGTTCGTAGTTTGGTGGCTAGGCCAAGTGCTGCCCATACACGAATGAACGCCGTGGAACAACCAGAATCTGAAATTGAAAATGTTTACCACTTTTAGTATAAGTTGAAATAAAAATCCGCCAGCTTTTAGCACAGTGACTGTACTGTTATATAACATATAGATATAACTTAAAGATAGCTGAGTGCGAGTACTGTTATGTAATATTAATATGTCGTAGGTAGGTTTGTTTTTGTTCTAGCCCTAGTACGGTGTCTGTATATATTGAATGTAAGTAGATATAATTATATTTGTGTTTGAACATGCGCTCACGGCACAGAACCTAATAGCAAAGTATGAAAAACAAATAAATACCAACATCTACTACATATTTAAGTATGTAGGACATCTTAATTTTGAGTAAGTATGACATTATTTTTAATTCTTTATATAAACATATTTTTATTGATTAAATATCGGCTAATTTCCCTCACATTTATTAATAACTGACGGTCCATCATGACTCGTTAGGAATTTTAATCTCTGAATTTTCCGACAAATTTTCCATGTTTTTGTTGTATTCCTGATTTCCCCGTAGGTACAATAACAAACAACAAAATATCGTAAATGTACTGTACTAAAGTGATGTCCTCTCATAATGAATACTACTTCGTCTTCGTATCGAACCAATTCTACCATTTATCCATTTATCTGGACATGGTGTTAATATCGCCATTGTCATGCATGAGAACTCGACTTCAAAACCTGACAAGTACCTATGTGGCTTTTGCGAAGCTATGTATATTTAATAAGCATATTTAGACACTACTGCCAAAGGGATACAGATACTTAGTAAAGAAATCTGGACCTTTCCTTTCTAATTATAAGTTTTAAATTGTAAATCTGCCTTGAACTGTGGTATGTGATGATATTTTTTATTAATTTTTCTCCGTGTGAAAAGAACCCTTTGCTTATTTATTCCCTGTACCTACTTATAGGCTGACAGCTGCCGTTTGCCTTAGTAAATCACATATTATAAACATGGATTTAATAAATACTTATCTTATAAAAACTTACCATAAGTTCCGTATTCTCCGGATTTGTAATCGTATGGCACCAGGTAGTGGTAGTGAGGCCAGAATGTCTTCGTCAAAATAAATACTGCGTTCGTGTCAGGAGGTGATCTGTTACAAACAAAAAGGTACATTATATACAGATAAATTTTAAATAAAAGGACAAATGGCTTCAATGAAAAATAATAATAAATCTCCCAATCATTTAAATAGGCGGGCAACGCACTCGTAACTCCTCTGGTGTTGCGGTGTGTCCATGGGCGGTGCCGATTGCTTAACATCAGGTAATAATGCGTCAGGCCATTGACGCCCAAAAACATTAAAAGATAGACAAAACGCAAACTACCTAGTAGTCTAATCAATATATGTATTTAATATGCGTAACTATTTTCAGAACTAAACAAAATTTTGTCAAATCCTGTTATTAATACCACCACATTTCTTTTCCTTCCTTACACATTCTTTATAACTCACAGCACACCGTGAGTTCGCTGTTGACACGCTTACAAATCGTAGTTAACTTTAGCAGTAAGTAGTAGGAACGTTTCACGCCTCGTATCATTTATATTCACCTAAAGATAGCTCAGTGCAAGTTATTTTTACGTTCAAGCGATCGAAACATTACCTTGTTTGGCTTTCTGATTGGTCGTTTAAATTGGAACTGCCCAATCAGAGGGCCGAACGTCATAAACGCGTCGATCGCCATAATGTAAATCGAATTCACACTAGCCACTGTGATTGTTACTTACTAAAGCAAAAATTTGAATATACATGAACTCTTGAGTTGGAAAATTAATACTAAGTATGTATATTTGTATGTTACATGCGTGTCAAGTTCACAAACTGGTTTACATGTGTCTCAGATAACTATTCGTCGCTACAAACAAGAGTTGCTTAGATGGAATCTCCCGAAGCTTCATAATGAATTCGGTGTACAAATGGCAGAGAGCAGATCAAACTTACACTATCAAACTGTACCTAATAGAATTTTCAATCCTATTTAGTACGAAATCGTAACATATGCAATCATAATGTTTTAAAGTCGACTACCAAACTTATTTCTGATTAATTGACTAAAATGATAATACATATTAGATTAGGATATCGGTAATATAAAAATTACTACATAGAATAAAACAAAGTCTCTTCCTCTGCCCTATATTCCTATGCTAAAGAATCTTTAAAACTACGCAAACGTATTGAAATAATGCGTTTTTAATTGACAGCTTGATTGAACAAGAGGTTTTATATGTATAATGAAATTAAATCGTGGAAGAATGTAGTATTAGCATTGCACTCGTATGACGCCGCGGCGGTTCGCAAGTAAATATAAATAAAAAGTGAAAGTAATTACGTATTTATAATTTATTTTGTTTTGAAATATCGTATTCCTTTGTCGGAGGTCAAACGCTCAAAGTCCACATCGAATGAATCAAATCCGCGACTTGTTGCACTGAAGCCGGTTGCCCAGCCACTGCGACAACAACGTGCAGTCATTGTAATGCAAAGCCAAAATAATTTATTTTTGTCCTTAGAAACTATCCAAAGTATCCAATTATGAACTTTTGCTTGCATTTGCTTTCATATTGCATCTCATAAGCCGTTCCGCTCCATACATACGAATACCTCCAACTGTCTGAAAAGTTATTATCTAGTTACCGTCGCCAGTCGTCTGGATAAATCAGGATATATTCTGATTTTTTGGATATATGTACATATATCTAGAAAACTTCATGTCTGGTCTGTTTTTTTTTACTTCTCAGATAATAGTCATGTCATTTAATAAAGTTGATTCCAAGTTTGAACTAACTAAGGATCCTATTCAGAATTTTGTAAAAAAAATAGGTATTATTTTTATGCGGCAGACTAGCAGACAGATTGCCGATGGCAAGCAATCGACGCCTCCCATAGACACTCGTAATGCCAAAGGACACAAGTGCGTTGCCGGCCTCTTGTAGGCTGGTAGGAATTTAAGGATAGGGGTTTTGAAGGATTGTACCTCCGATACCCTCACTCACACGTCGAAACACAATCTTAGTGTTGCTTCACGACCGTTTTCTGCAAGGACGTGGTCCTATCACTCGGGTCGAGACAAGACTCTCCCAAATATATACATACTTATATGTTTTATTTGTTGTAATGCCAGTGATTGATTTAACACAATTAGTTTCCTTAATTTCTTACTAAGCTGGCTGGTTTAGTTCACGTTCCAATTTTAAAATCTGTCAACCCTATCTAACTTCAAACTGACACTGAAATGGGAATCCTATTACACACCCGGCCTTTACAGGGAATTCTAAATGACAACGACAAAATGATCTTTTTTGTTGGTCATAAGGCTCAAAACCGCATAATCAGTGTAATTTTGTCTGCATTTGTAAAATATTTAAAAATTTTATTTTGTTTGCAAATGTGTTGGAACACATTGTTGTGTTGTGTTGTGTGCTACAAAATGTTCTCATTTTACTGGTGTATTCAATTTAATTAAGTGAAAAACAGTTTACTGCTTTTTTGATCATTACACACTACACATTACACATTTTGATCAGTACACAGAGTTTTACGTGGATAGCAGAAAATTCTCAACACTTGTAGCATCTATGCCTACAGGAAATGGAAAAGTTAACGGTAATTAGAAACAACACAAGACAGCACCTCGTCGTTCGGGAATCTATACAATATCAGCAAAAATGGCCGACTTAGTAAAAAAGCGGAAACAATCAAATGGACAGAAAAAGGCTAGGTCTACCGACCTAATCGTTTTTATATACCGTTTCAGTGATTATTGCTATTAACGCTATCCATCACCCTTTGACAACTTCAATGGTATTTATATAAAAAAAAGAATCGTTTTGATTAATAGAAGTAAACGGCTTACTAAAGAAGGATTAATATTTATGTAAGCGTAAGGATCAATCATTAATTTTTTTGCATAGCAACGATTTTCAATTTTCTTGAAGCGAGTGCTCAATCTATTAACGATTGCTCAATATCCGAACGAACGTTGCATTTTATAATACACATATAGTTAATAACTTGATGCCATTTTTAGAAAAATATATTCACACGATTGATTAGTGCTACTGACGTTGCCAAAGAGAATCAGCTGTACCGGATAACTACTTAATTTGACTAGTAACTTAGTTATTCTCCATAGCTGGTTTGTTCGATTTGGTTTAGTAGGCATAAGGTTCACCAAAATATGTATCTACATCGTTATCACCCTATTTATCATTACTAAAAATACGTCCACCGCTAAGGATAAATATTTATCCTACTAAAATAGAGTTTCTCATTATTAGCAACTATTTAAACAATACTGCACCTCCACTTCAGTGAAAGGCTATGGTTCAGGTTCAATAACATTTTCTAAGATATACTTACTTTTCACCAGGCTTCAATCCCCAAACACATATCGCGCTCTCGATCAACCAGGATCCATGAAGAACGACTAGGTAACGAAGGAATCCGATAACGAATGCTGAACTTAGGATGGTGTCATCCCAGTACTCGAGAGGAGCATTCAGTGGCAGCAGTGCAAAGATTATAGCGTACAGAACCCAGTATAATCTGAAACAGGAAGAAAATATTGCATATGGTATATCATTAGCCTTCTACTTCCACTATCTGTAGCTCGAAGACTCGTTTTTATTCCACAAAGACAACACGCTATTATTTTTGTTTTTAAATTGAAAATATTCCAAATTAGGTATCTAATCCCGCTATACTAATAATCCTATAACATTGTATAAATAAACTCCTTAAGCCCCTGATATAATAACAAAACAGCGCACAATATGCCGACAAAAAATTCAGAATAAAAAATCCGAATTAATTTTGACTTAGTGAACCAAATCTTCAGAGGAATACAAGGAAATCACAAAATTAATGTTAAACCATTAACAAAAACACTCTTACCTCTTTTGGAACATAACGACGGAATCTTTTTCAAGGTCAGACATATCAATCGATTGCATCAACTTCTCTTGGTGAGGGCTCAGTTTTCTCAGACGTGTCAGTAAGTGTGAGTGAATGAATCCCTGGTTGTAGTCGTAGGGATCAACGTCAGTGGCAAAGTGAGCGTGGTGGAATCTGTGGTATTTCACCCAGTCGTATATGGAACCCTGAGAAAGAAAACATTTTGAGTATAATAATGTACCTTCTATAGTTTATTTCTTAAAGGCCAAGATTGTGAAGAACAATGCCGTTAAATTTTGTTTTAAACAGGTACTACTTCAACTTTGCGTAGTTGCTATACGTCGACTTATTCGCAGAATTTTCCAATAAAACTATAATTTAAAAATGATTAGCTAAATGAATTGCTAAGCTCCAATCTCGAAAACAGCTGAACTGATTTAGCTTATTCTTTTTGTAATTTTCAAAGTTATTCGATAAGGTTGTTGTAATATTTATTTAGGAAATGATTAATTGAAATCGGTAAATAGCAACCCTTTCAATGTCGTAGCGATTCGCTCATAAAACAAATGACTAGAGTCAAAATTGTTAAACCACTCACTGTTGAAAAATCTTGAAAATGTTAGAGCAATTCATTTGTTTACGATTTGTTGAAAAAATATAACTTAAGTGTTACTGGGAGAACAAAGATCGGAACATTAGAACAGTCTCATATCTAGATAATATAAATAAATAATGCGAATAAATAAACAGTTTATAACAGTTTAAAGTGTGGGAGAGCCATGCTTCGGCACGAATAGGTCGGCTTGACCGGAGTGATACCAGGGCCTCACAGAAAACCGGCGTGAAATAACCACATCGTTGTGTTGTGTGAGTGAGGTTACCGAAGGCCCAATCCTTCCCCTTCCCGGACCCTTCCCCAATCCCTAAATCTCCAAATCCCTAATCCCTAAAAGGTCGGCAACGCACTCGTAACTCCTCCGTTGCGGGTGTCCATGGGCGGCGCTGATTGCTTACCATCAGGTAATCCGTATGCTCGTTTGCCGACTTATTACATAAAAAAAAGTTGTAAGAATTATTTGAAAGGAAGTTATGAAAAAGATCTCTGCCAAATACGTTTTTTCCTTACCTATATACATAGTAGGTAGGTACATATAATTTCTATTAAACGATTTACTGCGTCTTATTTGTATGAAGACGGCTTACTTATGTTGACCCAGATATTTTGTGCCTCATATTTTGTTACTTGCGATTAATATTATTTAAGGCTCAATCATTTGAACTGGAAGAGATAAAGACTTTTGTTTCCTGTTGGATTTGGAGACTTCCGTCATATTTTGGTATTATTCAATCCATTCTTAATACGTCTTCTGAATTATTTATGTCAGAGGAAATGTCGGAAGAGTATTAATTTCTTGTCGGAACATTTCGGAAAGCGATTAATACTTCGAGATTGTTATAGAGAGGTACATACAGGGTTACAGGAAAAGTCGTGCTAGATCCGTTAAGGGCGTAGAGTACTCATCATTTCTGACTTATTTCACCATGAAACACCCTACCCTAAACTTAACCCTTTTCGAGATATTCGACATTTAATCTTTTTATTGAAAATTGACGATTTTTAGGCTACTACATTTAATTTTGTTTATTTTGTGTGACTTATTATTATCCCATTTCTACATGTGTAATAAGATGCTTTAGGACCTCAATCATAAAAATAGTGAATAAGTTAATTCAATACGCCGTAGTAAAAAAGAGAAAGTTAAGAAATAAAAAAAAAATAGAAAGTTTATTTTTCTCTGAGGGATATCTAAAAAAAAATTTATGGCATTGATCGGCAGATAAGTTATAAAATATCTACGTTTCATCAGCTATCCAACAAGGTATAACAATCTAGGATTTCATTTAAATGCATTGAAAAAACTTAGTTTCATAGGCGATAGTGGAGGAAAAAATTAATACTTAGCAAAAAAAAAGAAAATTAAAATTAATGCAAAGTATTTATTAAATAAGGTTTTTACACAACTTTTTGTTACAATTCGTGTTCAACATGGCCGCCTCTGTTTCTAATACACTGTCGCATTCTTCGACGGAGACCAGTCTTCACTACTCCAGTGGTCAATGTTGTCCTCATTTGATTGGCTGCATCCACAATCCTTTCTTTTAATTCTTCCACAGACGAAACTGGATTTGACTCGCTGTAGACAAGGCTTTTCATGCGCCCCCACACATGAAAATCCATGGGGGTTAGGTCCGGACTTCTAGCTGGCCATGGCAACGGCCCACCTCGTCCTATCCATTTGTTTGGATAATTTGTGTCCAGCCAGTCTCTGACACTTCTCCTAAAATGTGCAGGGCAGCCATCATGTTGGAACCACATGTCCCTGATCAAGTTGAGTGGCAGATCATCAAGCAAATCACTCAAGTCTCCTCTCAAAAAATTTTCGTAACTTTCCCCATTTAGATTGTCCGGGAGAAAGTAAGGTCCAATCAAATGATTGGAGATAATACCCATCCACACATTAACGCTAAATCTTCGTTGGGAACCCTTCACTCTTTTCTTATTGGGATTCCTAAGTTCTTTTGGAGCCCAGTAATGCGCGTTGTGATAATTACTTATGCCATCTTTATCAAATTTGGATTCATCTGTCCACAAGATATTTCTTAAAAAATCTGGGTCTTCTACGTCAGCATTTAGCATAAATCTGCAGAAGTCCAACCTTCTCGCGGGGTCTCCTTCTTCAATAGTGTGTACCGGCGTGTAATGGTACGGGTATAGGCCAGCAGTATGCACTGTAAACCATACTCTCCATTGCGAAAGTCCCAGATCACGGGCAACAATATTAGTAGAAGTAGTCGGATCCGCTCGAAAGCACTGCACTATCTCATTGTCCTGTTCGTCGTCGTCATTAATTCGTGGTCTGCCCATGTCTGTATTTCGTCTCAAAACAGAGCCAGTTTCTCGAAGTCTCCGATAAACTCTATCAAAAACAGCCACATCCGGCACACGACGACCGGGGAATCGAGCTATGTATTCGTTGCGAGCTTGCGCAGATACAAAACCGCAGAATCCGTAACAAATAAGCATATCAGCATATTCCTCAGGTGTGTACGACGCCATCTTCAACACTTCCGTAGCACAAGTACAAATCGAAGTCCGGTTAACAAGCACAGTAGTCACAAATCGAAAAAAAACAGTCCAGAATCACAGCCAAGTCGAAATAAAGAGCAAAAACGATATCACATCTACTATGTACGAAGCACAAAAGCAGACTAACAAACAAAACAATATCCCGTGATATCCCTACAATATTTTTTCTTTCATTCGCACCTACATAAACCTTCGCTTGTCTCACTCGCACGGTGCGTCATAACTTAAGGACAATAGGCGCGGTACCGTTAGGACTGCTACCTGGAGCGTCCCAAATCCTTTTTTTACACGAATTACAATACAAATCCTAGATTGTTATACCGATATATTGGATAGCTGATGAAACGTAGATATTTTATAACTTATCTGCCGATCAAGTGCCATAATATTTTTTTTAGATATCCCTCAGAGAAAAATAAACTTTCTAATTTTTTTTTAATTTCTTAACTTTCTCTTTTTTACTACGGCGTATTGAATTAACTTATTCACTATTTTAATGATTGAGGTCCTAAAGCATCTTATTACACATGTAGAAATGGAATAATAATAATAATAAGTCACACAAAATAAACAAAATTAAATGTAGTAGCCTAAAAATCGTCAATTTTCAATAAAAAGATTAAAAGTCGAATATCTCGAAAAGGGTTAAGTTTAGGGTAGGGTGTTTCATGGTGAAATAAGTCAGAAATGACGAGTACTCCACGCCCTTAACGGATCTAGCACGACTTTTCCTGTAACCCTGTATACGAGTATGTGTAATACCAGCGACCTAACACAAATTGTTTTAGCTTCTCATCTAATAGATAAGTATAAATGACATTTATTTCAGAATACGTTTCGGGGATGATATGCTTATGACGCAGGAATCATTAAATTTTAGATGAAGAACTTGGTTGAAAGTATTTTTTAAGGAATAAGCCAGCTAACGACCGTACGGATTACCTGATGGTAAGCAATCGGCACCATCCGTGTACACTCGCACCATCAGAGGAGTTACGAGTGCGTTGCCGGCCTCTTGGGGATAAGGGATTCGAAAATTTAGATAAAGGTGAGGGATGGGGAAAAATGTTTGGGTGTCCAGTTAAATCACTCACACGGTGAAACACAACGTAAGTTTTGTTTCACGTAGGTTTTCTGTAAAGCCATGCCCATCTGTACCGAAACATGGCTCTTCCAGACTTCGTCCCACATTTTCGTAAAAATACAATAAGTGGGTAAACATTGAATTGCCATTCCAAATTACTTTATTTTTATATTATTATTTTTTTAGATATATTTGTGACATGTAGGTAGGTATGTAAGTACTTACAATTCCAGCTAAAGTTTGGAACAGCATGAGTGTGATCTTCAGTCCTGTGCTAGCCTGGTAAGCTTGGTGTGCCCACAACCTATGCGCTCCAGTCGTCATCCCCAATAATGCCACAGACGTCAAAAGAATAACTGAAAATTATAAATCCATTATAAGTAAACTTTGCATCATAAATATGTTATTATAATGAATATAAACTTTAAGTTCAGATGAATAAGGATTACGTTTCTTGTTTTTTTATTCAATGTAGCAACATTACACACTTATGTAACACATTGCTTTATTTATACCGTAGGCGCTTTGCAAATTGTAATGTGTTTAGATGAATAAAGATGGAAAATATGATTCTTTTAAACTCGTAATATTTTTAATATTGACTAAAAGTATATGATTAAGGTACATGTATTTAAAACTATTCTTAACTACGAGTCTATCAATAAATACGGTACATAAAGTTTGTCAATTTTTATCCTTTAACATCAAAATATGCGTGTATGTATGCGTGAGCGTAAGCGTATTTATTCGTTGCAAAGTCGTTTGCATCATCGTCGCTATTGGAGCCGTGAGAATCTTCTTGATGTAATACTATGTTTTGTTTTAACTGTCTTTTATAAAAAATTGTTCAGCCGTTAACAGATACGGTATCTACTTTAACTAAGAAACATCTATGTACCGGCGCGACGGCTACTTTGTAACAATTTTATACTTTAAGTGGGTACTTTATGTAGGTACCTACGTGTAAGTATCGCAGACTTTCCTCGTTTTTAAAAGATCCATATCATGATGCTAGATAACCTATTCAACCAAAAGCCAGGTAGTAAAAAAGAAAACCGCAATTTCTCTGTCAAAATTCAGTTCTGTGGCAAAGGTAATGTGTGTTAAATTAACTTAAATTGTATGTTCGTAAACACAGTAATGACACAGCAGAAAAACGTGCTACACTAATAATTATACCTACTATTCAAAAAAATCTGATACCTATGGATAAACGGGTAGATTGACAAATAGAAGGAAGTCTGTTCTGTTTGTATTTTATGAAAAAAAATTCACGGATTTTAATGAAATTTGACATAGAGATAGATTATATGACAGTCTGGCTAGAATAAAACATAGATCAATCTTTACTCTAGTACAACGGGCGGCGCCGCTGGCATAAGTTGGTATAAATATAATGTTGGCTTACAAAACAGCAGTGTCATCATTTTGACTTCGAAGAGCAACAGGTATGTTCCGTAAAGAGACAGCAGATGTATGTGTATGAAGAATAGAACCGCTGGCCAGTTTGCTTCCCGACTCTTGCTGAGCTTCTGCTCTTCGGCCGCTGGGGCAGCTTCCTTCACTTCCACCATCTTGGAAATCTGGAATAAAAGAAAATGTATGATGTAAAACAAAGTTTTTACATTCTAGTGTAGAAGAGCCACGCTTTGGCATCAATAGGCCGGCTCTAACGGAGTGATACCACGGCCTCAAGAGGCTCAATCCTTGTCCCCCTACCCTGTACTTAAATCCCGAATAACTCTCAAGAGGCCGGCAATGCACTTGTAATAAATCCTTTGGTTACATGTAAGATGGGTTGATTTTGTACCACTCTTCTAATAATTCGTCTTAATATTCTAAATAAAAAAGTTCCAGAAGCACCAATAACTTAGATCCGTCATCTAAAACATTGTGGAATCTAATAAGTAATAACAAAAAAAGCTAAGCACTGCAACTTATTCAAAACGAAAATCTTTCTTTTGATTAATAAATCAAACGAACAACAGAAAATGAAAGCCAAACTATGAGTTCAAACACAGAGCAATGGCATTATTACATACGAATTCGAGGTATTAATAGACATCCTTGCACATGTTGAATCTTTAATGCATAGATGCACGTACATATGATGAAATATGCATCCACGAATGCCCTATATTCGCCAGGTTACATCGTTCAGGTGTTCGTTGCAAATAACGCACGATCCATATGCGACAGCACGAATAATTTGAATTTCGATTTTCTTCAACCTTAGCTCAGCAAAACCCGATAAATATTCCAAAAATTTTGATTTCGTTGAACCCGAGTTCAGCAAATACCCGAGTCGAACATCGAGTCACTAAAATTGAACGTTACGACTTTTTGAATGTCATTTCCTGACTTTTCAAGCTGTCACCGCCAACAGTTTGAAATGTTAAAATTTATTTAAAAATAAACACATCGTTGCATTTTATTAAAATGCATGGAATTCAGAATTTTATTTAAAGTATGTAGATACTCTACATTTTGAGTATGCTCGAATCAATATGTCAAATGTCAGGATTTACTTATCGCCCGTTTCACTCCACGAGCCACTAAGCGTATCATTTTGTTAGGTACCTCAGTCTTACTAGACTTACAGACAGATAAAAATCAATCAGAACAAAATTTTAAATATTCCAATAAATAATGGTTTTGCTATTATAAATTAGACCACAATACATATTTTAACAAAATACTGTTAGGTAAATGCATTAATACCTACAAATGTAAACTTTAAACACACTTAGTGCCTGTCATGACTATCACCACCTTCGTATGAGCGCACAGCATGGTATTATAAATTAATAACATGTGGTTTAATCAAGTAACGTTCTAAATTCAAAATCTGAGGACTTAGTACGAATTTGCTTAACTTAAAAGCGATCGACTCGTTTGTGATGTTCGCCGCTTTGATTCGCCTGATCCAAGTTAACTAACCAATCAGCTTAACGCGTTACGCTCGCTTTTCGTAGAGACAACTAACACTAGACTCCCTAGTACAACTTAGAACTTAGTTATTCAGAAATTATGAAATGGCCTTAGTAAATTGAACATAGCTTGAGAGTTGAATGTTTTTGAGGGAAAAATCAAATAACATTAGGTAGGTATCGTGCATGAAATTTTGTGTTTAGTAGAACATTCTGTTTACACATGGCCAATACATTCGTAAATTTTTTCTTTGTTCAATGACCTTTCTGACCTCTTTGGAAAGAGTGAATAGTCATGTCGAGTGCACTCGTTCCGGAGCCTAAACAGTTTGTCGATGTTAAGGTCACAAGATCAAATAAAACTATTGTATGTTAATACAAAATACTCAACTTTCTCATACGTCATCACATATTCTACAAACATTTCAACGAGTCCGAGCATCGAACCCATCACTAAAAATAAATAGATATTAAATAAAAGAGGTTTGATTAAAATTTTGAAAGAAGTCAACCTCATTCATCTACACAAGCTTTGTTGTGTTGTATTTATATTGAAGTCTGTGGGACGTTTTAATTTTTTTTTTGCTAAACGTATTGTCAACTGGCCTTCTTAAATTGTTTTTAAAGGTCAATAAACTTAGAGTAAAAGTCAAATTGTAGCGTAGTAGTTTAAGGAAAGTTACTTAATAAAATAAATATTATTTGTAAGACACTTAAATTAAATACTTCTAGTACTTTCTGCTTATAATTATTGTCCGTGCCTTTTGCACTCTTCATGCACCGGAAAATATTTATGAATAATTTGTATCAAAATATTTGATTCTATGATTCGCATCATTAATTTACCGGCCTGATGTAATTAATTATCAGTTAGCAATAAATTACTATAAAATTAATAGATTTTTGATATTAAATTGTTAACACAATTAATAGCCACTTACGTAGCTAGTCGATATTTTAAAATTATTTCAATGTTGATTTTGTTTAAGTGTTTACAAGAAAATTTTGTCACAACGTTCTTTTTTTTTGTTCAAAACAATTGAAACAGATTCTTAGATCCCTTAAATCTAAACTTACCACCTACAACTTTTGTTAAATAATTTGAAATAGGAATCTAAGTAGGTACATGACACATAAATAGTTCATATAAATCATGTTCTAAATTCAAATTTCTATAATACATAGGCTATACCTATATAAGTACGTTGCGAAACCAACCCTAACACAGCTGCAGCTAGAAGATTAATAATTACGCTCTTGAATGCATCCCATGTGCTGAGCAAACTCCGAGACTAACTGAGCAGTGGGCACTGAGAAAAACCCGGTCGAGCGTAAACCGGATAAAATTTCCATTAGTGGTGAAATAATGGGATGAAGAAAATAATATCTAACAAAATTTAAAGCAAAGTAATTCTATGTAGAGGTAAACGTTAATGCACAAACTATTTAAAATAAATGTTAAAGTGAAACAAAAATTTCATTTTTTTACAAAAAATTAAATTAAAAAATCGACAAAAAGCACGTGTACAAGGTTATTTGCCCCAGTCAAAATCAAATTTGACTGTCTAATTTTAAAACTTTACAAATTTATATTTTTGATTAAATTAATCTAATTAGCCTTTTTTAGTCACGTTGTTTATGCTAAAATATAATGTGTAACTACCTAACGTAGAAAAATGACGTAAATTTGTTGTTATGCACAAAAACACGCAGTCTTTATACTATTTACTTCATTTTTAAAATACTACATTTCTAATGGGTAATTCGGGGTAAATTTGGGGTAAAATCATACCATTATTACCCAGACGACAATAGATATAAAAGCTAAACAACGGTAAGAATTTTTCAAAATATAATAAAAGTATTGAGAACCGAATACTCCCATGTGGTCCAATATATTTAAATATTTTTTTTATTATATGTGAAAAATTACAATTAAAAAGCTACTGCTTCTAGTGATCGTAGTGTGAAGTTTTAAATCCTTTTTTTGTAATAAATAATCCAATACAAAACGTTTTTTAAAACAAATGAACAAATCGTTGTTACAAAATAAACAAATAAATCGGCTTTATGAAACTAATAATAAATACTGCAACCACAATCAAATTTATATTCTTTACGCAAACACAATAAATGAAAAATATCGAAAATCAAACCATGGATTCACAAAAAAAGTTTGCATTCTTTCGTAGTTTACAGAATGGCGAATTTACACAACTAGAAAAACAATTTTCGTCACGTAATAATGTTAGTTCGTAATATAATTTATTCCTTTAATTTATTCACATTATTTGCGTATCAATAAGCATTTCATTATGAGAAATAAATTACATATTACATTTAGGTGTGGGTCATATGTTACAATAAATAGTACCTATCTAAATATAATTTAGCAACCACTTTTTACTAGTTTTTATTAACCACGGCATTGCTCGCTATGCCTCACAGCTAATGTCCAGCTGGTGTACCTGGTGCTAGCCCAAAGTATACCGCGACCCCAGCCCGGAACAGGAGAAAGAACGGGGACCCACCCCGTTCTTTCAGCCAGTAAGAGTCTGACACTCCCTCATACCCCACCCATGGAGGGACAAGTCATTTGATTTTTTTTCCCTGAAAAAAGGCTATATTACAACAACTACATGCAAGCAATGGAAATTTTCAAAAAGGGTGGTTGAGTCGTGAAATCTACCTAGAGATAACATTGTAACAAACATACCTACTTATTTATTTAAATTAATTGAGATATTGAATTTTCAACTAGCCTTTTCTACTAATTGATTATAATGTTCTTATGTTACTTTTATCAGTGATTTTACCCACTTCGCCAAACTTTTCCCAAAGAACGTAGTCGTAACCCTCTTCACAAAAAAATATGTATAAAAAAGGCTAATACAATTTTCTTTTTAAAGTAAACAATTCTCAAATCCGATTATAATTGGTTCGAGAGATTGTTTTGTTTGGAAAACATAAAAGAACCTATTTGCTTTATGATTTTAGTTGATAGGTATAATAAAAGAAAATATTATTAGAGGTAAAATAATTTAAAAAAGAGCGTAGTGTTAGATTCTGTTACCGTGTCTGGTAATTTTGTGTTGGGCAATATCAAACTATCAAAAATAAAAACAAAAAAAATTACGTTCTTTCAGTACTGCTGGACAGTAAAATCTATATAAGTAGGATCTTTTTAGTCTTCGAGATAAAAATGTTACGGCTCATGTTCATTTCTAGAATATCGTCAAATTGTTTGCGTACAAAAAATAATTACATGTCAACCAAAAGTTTTCAATGTTATCTTTTATATTAACTACATAATGAAGTAGTAAGAAAGTTTGTGAGCAACTTTAATATTTTTCTATGAAATATTAATTAGATATGTACTATTATGTAATAATGCAATGTGATAGAAAAAAAGTGACATCTCATGCAAACTTCAAGAACTAATTTAATCAATTTGAAACTATTTAGTTGTGTATTATATAAACCTGAGCATATTGGTGTAGGGCAAAAAATAATACTTCTATTTATTTACATTTGGAAGATTTTTTTACCTAAGGTTTATTCTACAGGCAAAGTTGCTGCCAGATTTCATGTATGACAATTTCATTCGTCAAGATAATTCCCTAGTCCGACTAAGTAAATAGCTCTTACAGATTAAACTGTCGTTCGTAGTCATTTCAAATCAAAATAGTTTCTTCGGCTTAGAATTCCTATTTCAAATTTATTTGTTATAACAACATTTCTCTAATCATTCATATATTAATCATTTATAATTTTGAAAGATTTTATTTCCTTCGCTTTTAAGAAAGTAAATTCGATAAATTTGTTTCATGACCCGTGTCGATAAGTAGTTAAAAACCGTCGCCATAATAACAAAGATTTATTTATTAGGTACCTTTGTTAAAAGTAAAATTATTTCCACATACCACAATCAGGCCGTTTTTATATTAAGAAAACTGTAATAGTAAGAGTCTGAGATTTATGCAATTGTAAACTTCGACATTACTGCAATATATAACATTTTTGTTAAATAATAATCACAATCTTACTTATTTTGGGCCCAAACTTTTGAAAATAAGTAACTTCAATGCAAAAAAATATTAGATATGGCACAGACGATAAGACTTTAGATAAATTTCTATGAAAATAAAACGAAGATGGACTGATAATAGCTAATTCTCTGTGTAACAGATAATAAGGTCGTTACATTGAAGGTCGGTCTAATTCTATTTCAATGTCTGTAAGAAAATAAGCTTAACGTGGGTCAGTTTTCAAAAAGGTCGATTGTACGTTAATTTATTTCATAAATAACTGTAATTTTAGAAATCTATTTTCATTTATTGAAATGTGAGACAGGTAAATCAGCGTTTTTGATAGATTGACGTCATTTAATGCTTACTCGAATTTTACTACACTATAACGTATGCTTTTAAGAAATAACTGGCTTCTGTAATAATAATGTAGACAATTTTTTATTTCGGTACAGTAAAAGGTGAAAATTTAACCAAAAAAGATATGACAAAGTGTAAGAGCTATTTTTATTTATTAAATCACTGAACCACGTCATTTACAATTCAGTTATATATGAGACCTAAACGCATTTCTAAAGCCGTTTACAAAAATGAAATCGTATATCAATCGTTGTTTTTAAAACCTAAATCGTAAATTATGATGTCTAGCATGACAAATGAAAACTGAAAAAGAACAATCACTACGTCCCACACACACACACACATACACACCCGGTACAATTGTTTGAGTGATCTAGAAATTGAACCCTTGCAAATATTTTATTATCTGTGTACGTGAAATTATATTATAGATATTTGTCACCCACACAGAAGAAAATACTAGTTAACATTTAGCAAAAAATAAACTTCAATATAAAGTTTGATTGCTCACAGAACTCTAACGTTAACAAATTTATCATTGCATTATTCAGCCAAAAAAATAAAAATAGAAAAAAAAATCGTTTTTAAAAAATAATACTCACATTGCTAGCAGGCAACCGTAATCGATGAACGCGACACAGTGACAAAGCACAACTGCGGCTCAAATCATTATACATTCACAAGTCTTGGGCCAAGTGACATGGTTAATTACCCACGATACCTACCAGTTTACAATACACTTCATTATAATACACCCGATTTATTAACTATTAAACTATGATAAAAATACATTCTTTATACTTTTTTTATTTAAAGAAATAATGTGTTGTGCCTGTGCTACTTTTAGTATTTTTTTAAGAGATATGTATAAAGACTAGGAAAAGGTAGAACAGACTCCTTGCATTTAGACCCGAATAACGCGTGTCACGTTTCGCGCGCTTTATTTTATGCTAGCGTCTAGGCTAGCGTTGCAGGCCACGGAACAGAATATGAAACAGGATTTTTTTTTTTACTTTATAAAACACTCAAAATTGTCTCACGAGTGAGGCGAGCGGATGATTCGATCATATTTTATCCTTTTAAAAATCCTTTAAATTGATTGAAAAAAATTAAGTTCCAAAATTTGATGATAATGAAATTCTTTTAGGATGAGGAAATCAAATTCAACGCCACATGCTCAGTACTGCAGACAGTCATAACTTTTCATTTTAAATATAATTTTTGAAACTCTTGATCGATGATTTTTGGTGTTCATTGCAATATTTATTCAAACTAGCAAATACGTTGTAATTGAACACCGTTACAGTGAAGCTGACACATTCAAATATATTTATACACATGCGAGTGTGTCGTCCTTATAATATTATATATTACATACCTACATAACATATTTACATATGTACACTTGAAATAATTTTAATATACGTACGTCGTCGGTAATGAAATTGAATGCTACTGAAGGTACAAAGTAAAACGGATATTTATTTCTGTATTCAAATATATTTTATGTACTCGCAATTACTTCCTTAACATATTTTCACAAGATATTAAAAAAAAATTCGAATACTTTTGATTTACTTTCAGCTGGGTCGTTGCCCCTAAAGTTCTTTGAACTGGCTTCATATTGTCGGTCCAATGTTTCACTCAACTCTATGCTTGATATCCAGTGACATTTCATCATCATCATCATCAGTCTAAAAGTGCCTACTGCTAAACAAAGGCCCCTTTTCAAGTGAAGAAGTGTTGACCATTAATTACTACGATTAAGCAAATGCGGATTGGTGATTGCAAACTTATAATTTCAAAATATTAGTCCAGTTTTCCTTTAATATTTGAGGCTATAATTGTGGGTGGCTATATAAAATCAAAAAGTACATATGTATAACTCGGGAAAGCCACATATGAAGGTACTTGCTAGGCTTTGAACCTTGTTCATGAGCAGTGGGAACTTTAACCTCCAGGCTACCACAAAACCTTTACGTAAATTTATTTCAGATATATACTTAACTAAAAACTGTCACATAGAATTAATAGACTGGTTTCGATTGAAATTGAATCAGTTTATCTAAATGAGTTTTCGAAAATCAGAAGGCACATATTTCTTATTAGATTTAGATGTACAACTTGAGGTCGACAAATAATTAGTATATGTTTATTCTTTAACATTATAAACTAATACGAATAAGGCGGACTTAATGCTATATGGCATTCTCTCCAAGTCTAAACAGTAGGAAGTGAGAATTCAGCGACACTAGACTTGTTTTAAATATACAGTACCTAACAGTTACATATATGAAACAACTATGATAAATATATATAGGTATTTTATTACAAATTAATTATACATTTACAACATAACAATCCAATATGTTGCAAAATAAATATTCGCAAGCTAACTTAATTTGACTGCACGGTTGGTGCGGTGGGTGGGCAACTGGCTGCCGTACAACGTGTCACGGGTTTGATTCGGATCCACACGGATCAACTCTTTGTGTGATGCACAAATTGTTGTTCGGGGTCTTTTTTTATGTAATTGGTAGGCAAACGAGCAGACGGATTACCTGATGGTAAGCAATCAGCGCCGCCCATGGACACCCGCAGCAGAGGAGTTACGAATGCGTTGCCGACCTTTTAGGGATTAGGGATTTGGAGATTTAGGGATTGAGGAGGGATTGGGGGCGGGGAAGGATTAGGCCTCCGGTAACCTCACTCACACGGTGAAACACAACGCTGTGGTTGTTTCACGTCGGTCTTTATCACTCCGGTCGAGCCGACCCATTCGTGCCGAAGCATGGCTCTCCCACACTTCTGGGTGTCATGTGTATGTGAAATATGTGTGTGTGTATGTTTGTAACCGCACCCACGACACAGGAGAAAATTATAATGTGGGGTCACGTATTTACTTAAAAAAAAAAAAATTGTGTCATTATCAATGCTATCAATTATTCAATGGACTGCATGGTTTGTGCTGTGACTGTGCAACCGGCTACTGCCCAACTATTCGAGGGTTTATTATAATCTACAATCTACAAATAGTTCCCGGCCTGTGTATCACTCACCTAATCATCCATTATAACGATGGCTCTTTTAGTACCTATAAAACTTTGCTATAACACGTGTCTAGTAAGGCAAATACAGGCGCGGTACAAAGTCTATATTACCTACACAGTTTTAAATGAAAATAGAGTAACTATTCATTATTAATAATTATTTACAACGCTCATTATTCTCTGTCCCTAAAATTGGCTTCAAAGTTTCTTCCAAGAAAACAAAAAAAAACATTGAGCCATGGAAAACTTTTCAACGAAAAATTCAATTTTAATATATGTAGAAAATTATGAGATTTTCGTGCTTAAGAAAGCTAAGTTAAACAACTGTTTGATGTTACTGTCTACTTCAAAATTCAAGTGAATTTTTCATCTACTTAAATAATTACTAATTACTTGGGGTTCATAGCCGATGAAAGTGGGTGCTACTTGGTACAAGTTCATCTCAACTTACGCCTACGGGGAAAAACACGAGTCGTTATGTATGAAGTTCACAAAATTGCATAGATTTCACTACAATACGGTAGTTTCCAATTAGTCAAATTCAATACTTTTATCCAATTGTCAAAAACGATACTTTTCTTTGAATTTTTTATGAAACACTGCGTTATGACGTCATAGTATTTATACGTCAAATAGTTTACTTATTTCTTAAAAAATAACTTTATTATGTGTAAAATTTAGTGTATCGATCGATCGATAAGTAAAAGCATGGTTATTTTTCAATATTTTATTGTATTGAAATGTCGAATAAATTTATTTTTGACCTAGGAAACTACCCAATTTGCATTGTTTTAAATGATATTCATACATAACTTGATTTCAAATTAAGAATTAATTCAATTTTAAAAACTTAAGAATTAAAACCTTTTTTTAAACTACTATACCCTCTACTACTAGCTCTATAGATAAGTAGAATCGTTGCACAATATAGTTGTAGCAATTTTATTAGTCTACTCGCTTGGTCCTTTACAAAAAAGTTCGGCTAAAGAACCCACGGGCGCTTACTTCTTAGAAGTTTTAAACCCGCTTTTCACCAATTTGCCCTATTCTCATTCATAGACGTTGAAAATCTTTGACCTCCTAGCTTTTTCCGCATGAATAATTATCATTATTTATGATCTAAATTTAAAACATTATTAGTTAGGTTAGTTGACAATAACAACGCGTAAAGAGGTTGTAAATAAACTTACTATTACTATCTATCATAATTTTAGTTGTGATATGTATGTAAGTTATTACCTTCGTTGTTCGTTGAATGTTATGACATTGTAACGTTGATATTGTAATTTTACACCAGCTGCGTTTAGTAAGATCACGTAATAGTATGGTGGCATCGTCATGAAACATTAATTATCCTATAATGTAATTGTAGACAATAAATACTAAGTACTAGATCAACTGACGAATGTAATATGTTCTCTTGTATCTGTGTAGATCTGACATCCCCGAACGGGACCAACTTAAACAGCTTAAACGTTTTTTTTTCCCGGATAAGTCTTTGACTGCCAACAAAACTGTTCATCCATCCATAGATAGAATGGTACGGTACTAACTAATAGGTAAGTATTAGAAATATTTCATAAAACCTTTTATATTTTATTATATTTTATACCGCGTCGTGTTGAGCGCGGCAACCGTTACACAAAAATTATCCTTATAGCATGATGCAGTGTTCACATGCGACGGACGGCGCGATGGCTTATTATCTGAACTGCTAAGCTATCAGGAGTTATACGTGCTGTAAAACTATTTTTTTAGATAATTTTATGTAAAATATTTCCGTCACACATAATTTCTATGTAACTTTATTGACTAAGGCTACACATGCGACGCAAACTTAAAAAACGGGAGTAACTTATCCCGTTTTCACAACATTTCCCTTCACTGCTCTGCTTCTATTATTTGTAGCGTGAAAAGTATCCTATAACCTGCCCAGGAGTATAAAGAATAATTGTACCAAGTTTTGTTAAAATCCGTCCTGTAGTTTTTGTTTCTATAAGGAACATACAAACAGACAGACAAAAGTTTTACTGATTGCATTTATCACTTATCAACCCCTGGTAGTCATTTTGAAAATATATTTAATGTACACAATTGGCCTCTCTACAGATTTATTATAAGTATACATATGAATATGGAATAATATCAAAACGATAAACGTTTCTAATAACAAAATATCACAAAATTAAAGTTCGACGTTTCGGTAATTGACCGCCACCACCCGACAATAATGGCAGTATAGTTGACAACAGTGCATTGGAGACTGGGATAGATCGGATTAAATGTGTCTATTTGGTTCGTGTTTGTTCATTGGATGTTTTATGTTTTTTAATTAGAATAACAAATATTTGAAATGAATTGAATATGCAATAATAATTTTATTTAAAATAAAAATATAATTTATCTTACTATTAAAAACAAAAAATTCCTTTAACCTTTACCTTAATTTAAATGGAATTATTGTGTAATTCGTTTATAAATGCTCTACGATGCCCAACAGAGCCTATAGTTGACCTAAAATTGTAGACTATCTCTGTACACCACAGATAAAGACTAACTTTGGTTTGATTTGGATACCATTGAAAAAAAATGTAGGTAATAATATCAAACGGGAATAACAAGTTATGTCATAAC